TGGCGTTTTGGAATGTAGCATCCAGCGTCTGGACCCGCTGCATAACCCGGAAATCGTTAGCTGATGCTCAAAACCGTTAGGCGAAGGCGCAGTTCCACGTGGATTCTTGTGTCAGAAAACGCATTCGGCACCCCGATCTAACCGCAGATGTGCATGTTGAAGGGTTCATCCGTCGTCCCAAGTCTGTGGGCACTCGAGCTGGGCACGCGTCTGTCGCCAACTTACCAGGCCTTTGGGGTGGGCATCAGAATGGACATCCCTCACTTCGCGAAGTTGAGGTTATTAACCGCATGTTGCATTCGTTGAAGCGGCTTTTTTTCTCCTCATGTCGCATTCAATTCAGAGTCTTCTGATTATTGTTACGCGAGAGGCAACTTCACTGTTGATCTCTGAGTGTCCGAGCTCAATTCGGCGGTTATAATGCCGTCCGTTATCGACTTCGTTATCGCTTGGCTTGGCGGCTGCAAAATTTTTATGATCTGCTCAATAGGAGTCCAGCGTGTATATGAAAACACTAAATGTCGGCGCCGTGCAAGCACAAACCAAGACACCGAGCCGTTATATCCCGCGGACAGCCCTGTTGTCGGTGGATGTCAATATCAAGGTTTGGAGCCGGTGGCACTTCAAACCATGTACCCCTGAAAATACATTGGGCCTCCCTGCTCGCTTATGCTGTCTTGGCCTGATAGCTGACAGGGTATTCCTATCTCACGGGCAGCTTCCTCTTAGGTTCATGGAGAATGCGAGCAGAATGTTCCACCGGCACAGTCGGATTTTGGAATCCTTCCGCACCGGCTAGCCCTGTCACGTAATCCAAAGACAGGATCCCATGTGGTTCGGGGGCATCATTCCGCCTCACGGCCAGCCGTTCCTGACGAATTGCAACGGTTCTGGCCTATCGAGGACCAGTCTTCTGACCAATTTCCTCAACTCCGCAAGTTCTCAACCCCACAAGCCGGATGTTGTTCCTTGATTGAAGGCCGGCTGAAGGCTCAGGCCCCCGGTCGTGCACTTGGGCAATTTTTCGTCCCCCTCTTGCTGACCCTCCACACGCGGACGGCATGGGTAAACTGAAACCCAGGCCAACTTACCTCTCCTGGAAAGATTTCGCCACCCTCCCGCACAGGACCTGCTCTGGCGCGGATATTCTCATATGCCGCAATAACGCAAAGTTCTATTTTGGTCTGGGGCCGACTGAACCGCGCGGGAATCGGAAGGCGAGCGAGCCCGCCCAGCCGAGCTAGACCAACCATCTCGCCAGACGCGGCAACAAGAGGGTTGCAAGCAATATACTTAGCGTGATGCCAAAAGAATTGCGTTCGGTGTCGATATCAGTAACCGGCACGCCAAGAGCGAGACTGTGCCGAGTGAGGCCGACGATGCCTTCACAGTCCTCGTCTGAAAATCTCGCAGCTCTCGCTCTTGGTTCCCCCAGACTTTCTGTCTCAAGTGATCCATCTCCTGACTGAAAACGGAATGTTGTTTGGCCCCGTTCTGTCTTTCCTCGTGGTTCTGGCCCACGGTTAAAGTTGAGAGAAATTAATCCCCGAGTTTGTTCATTGTTGGCTCCGCTCTGCAGAGGGGCGAAGCGTGGCGGAAAAGAAAAGCACAGAGCACATCGCGACGTACGCGAGGATTGTGTCGTGGTGCGCGGAGTTGGACATGAGTCGCGTGCGTGTATGATGTTCAACCACCATGTGTCCGAAACAACGAATGTGCCCTGCTATTACTCCCGACGTGATAATCCGCACGGATAAGTTCGGATTGAAAAAGTTGCCGGCCTGTCGCCTCTGGAACTGGCCCCTGATCGCCAAAATTTCCCCCTTATGGCTGACAATGGGATTCTTCATCAAGATAAGGCTCCTCCCTGCATCTCGAGGAACATCACGCGTGGCAGTGCGTTCAGAACCTTTAACGTTTCGGAAATTCACACGTCACGGCCGGAAATGTTGCAAGGCAGTTGACGCTTATGATCACGATCGCGGATTGAGCTTAGCGCAGGACCGAGACTTTTTATGAAGCTGCTGTTGGCGTGGCTTGGCGCATCCTTCATCATTACAGAACACTGAAGTGTTCACGGTTTGTGTTCAATCGGAAGAAAAGACTAATGTATGGAGTCATGGACTCGTTCAACCGAAGTTTCCTGACAGAACTAGGCAGACCCGGATGATGTAACCTTAGCCACGTTATCCCAGCGGCTGCAACCGACTTGCAAGCCATGCAAGATTATTCGCAACCGAGCAGCCCTCAGAAGAATGACATCCTTCCCCAGGCACGACTAATGCTGCGGCTGAGCACTGCTGAAAATGGTTATTGATGCTGAGGTGGACTATACTCGATGGAACACTGCGATGACGAGTTGCTCACGTTGTCTTATCTGACATGATACCAGAGCTGAACATCTCGAACTCCAGTGGTTTCTCTCGTCCGGTGACTTTCTGTGTGATAATCACGTAATTACGGACAATTCAATGCCGGTGGATACAATGTCTCAAGTACCAAGGATTCAGCTTAGCTGAGAAAATTTGCCCCGTAGGGCTAGGTTGAACCATGCGTCGACAGCCAAGTTAGTCTGGACTCTTGAACAAGGTTAAACAGACTTGAACGAACTCTTCGTAGTCGTCGTAGATGGTCGGAAGATACGGTTGTTTGAAAATGACTCAATCAAAATGGGTTATGTTTTCTGAAACTCAAATTGATAGGCTTCGACAACGATATCACATGATGCTGTTCTGGCCCAACCACCACTTCCGCTTTGGCAATTTCTTCATGTTGATGAAAGTCCGAATCGAGTGTTGAGATCCCAAAAATGACTGTCTACTTAGAGTTACGAGCTGGTCTGGTGCCTAGTTCGGATCAATCATCCAAAGTCAAAACCCATTTTCCTTGCAGCTGAGGAGAAGTAGTTAGCATTGATGGCGCGATACGGCTTTGGGAACTTCTTACCTTTCCAGCGGACATTGTCTGGACCAGTCTTTCCACGTCGTTTAGCTTTGCCCTTTGAACCTTTGGAACAACGGCTCGTCGCTTTACGAACTCCAACGCCTCCAGAATATCGGCTCGCGTCCCAACTGAGGAGCTCAGAATCTTCCATCCCTTCGCAATCAGCCAGAGAGGATGGAAGTTTACCAGAGCCTCATGACCCAGGACTGCCACACACATGAGTGTCCCAAACGGCGCAAGTACCTCGAATGCTTGTTGATATGCAGTCAGTGAGGTCGCGGCAACTACGATGGCTTTTGCTCCCTTCCCGTCCGTTACCTTCATCACCTTCTCCCCCAGAGTTCCGGGCTCGGTCACGTCAACATAGTGCTCAGCACCCTGCTCTTTGCAGATTTTGGACTTCTCCTGTCCAGCATCAATTGCAATAACACGGTATCCCATTGCGTGAGCATACGCAACAGCTAGGGCACCAACGCCTCCGGCGGCTCCAGAGATTGCGAAATACTGTCCGGGAGTGACGTGGCAGCCCTTGACAGCCTTGTAGGCCGTCACACCAGCACATAGAATCGGTGCAATCTCCTCGTCGGGAAGATCGTCGAAATGTGGCGGCAGTCTGGCTAGATATCGATACGGGACGAGCGAATATTGGGCGAAGGTACCGTCGTAAGTCTTTCCGGAATGCATCGCCTTGACACATCGAGTCTCTCCTTCATTGACAAGATCCGTGCAGGCATCGCAACTTCCGCAGATGTCGCGGGTCCAAGCAATGCCAACTCGTTGGCCTACCTCGACTGAGGGGTCGAGAGAGGAGACATTGGAACCAAGAGCAGCAATTTTGCCAACCCCTTCGTGGCCGAGGATGTTTCCGACAGGTCCAAAATGACCCAGAGCCATGGCAAGGTCTGAAGCACAGAGGCCCGTCACGGAGAGCTTGACGAGAACCTCATTTGGACCGGGTACTGGTCGCGGTTCATCGCGTACTGAGAAGGTCGGCGTAGCGTCAGATGCTTGGGTTGACTACGGTGGGTCAGTTGACATCCTCGACGCAATCCGAGTCTCTGGTCGTGAGATGAACGTACAGTTAGAACGGCGGCTTTGTGCGTCTCCATCTTGATGGTCTTTGGAATCTTCTATGAATGATTGCTTCTATCTGGCGATAATGGACTGTAGTTGGTGAACTAGAAACGAGTTTTGAGTTTGACCTGATGTTCCTCGAATCTATGATGTAGTTCCTCCCTTCCCCGCCAATCCCAAGCGGGGGAAGTTCAGACCATTCGGATACGTATTTCCGCCCGTCGGACAGTCCCGCGCGGCCGAGGTCATGGCGGCGAAGTTTTTTCTCTTTTGAGAATGCTGTTCGCTCGAAGATGAATACTGACATGTCCTCTTTGACTCAATCTTGAAGTTGAGGTACAGTATCTCCATCGACGCGTGTGGCAGATGTGGGTTTCCGAGAGCCGCGGGAATTCGCTAGGCCCGGGTTATGGCGTTATCGCCCCCGACCTAGGGGTTTCGATTCGCTGCACGTAGTGAGACATGCCTGCGCCGTCCGGGCTCTTTTTTCTCCTCTTGGCCTTCGGACTATGTCTCAAAGGAAATGACACTGAGAAATTCATCAATCAGTCTTTTGAAGAACTGGAGATGTGGGCACATATCGTGGATCAACAGGGGTACTCCATGCAGACAAAGCTGTCCGGCTGGAGGTTAATTGTGCATGTGGTTACCACATGAATCCCCCGGAAATTGAGACGTTCATATCGTGCCGTGCTGACGGATGCTCAGTAAACGTCCAACCATCATCACCCTGGGTTTCCGCTGGAGGAAAGATCGCGAGAATTCGGCCATAATCGTGACATCATGATCCATGTAAGGAATCTCTTACATAAGCGCTGTCACGAAGATTCGGCCCACGGCGAAACATGAGCACCCGAAGTATCACATGACTGAGTCCAGCGATGGCCCCTGTCTCAGAACAGGCCAACAACATATTTTCTGTAATCATCTAATCCACCAGTCCTCACCGCTGGATCCTTGCGCCAAGGAACCGCATAGTTGCAATGTCCACTCAGAAGTCATCGTTCTCAAATAGGGGCTTCCAAATCCACCAGTCTGTAATTCGGCATCCTGGCGGAGGAGCACACGACCGAATTATACACATAGTCAACCGCGCTCTTAGGGGCGTGCGTTCGGGCGAGCATCCGGCACCTCACGGCGACGCAGCCGGGAAACGGCCAGCACTCACCCTCGATCTTAGCTTCCAGGGGATGCAGCATATTCCCGAAGACGTTGTTGATCTAACCAAGGAGGACCTAGAATGGTTCGTAGAAATTATCGCTTATCTTGAACGAAAAGGTGACAAGCTTACGCCAATGTGCGTGATAGGCTCACGATCTCCCACAATCTTTTGACCTGTCTGCCGACTCGGTTTGGAGCCTGCATGAACCTCCGATATCTGGATATTAGCAACAATGACCTCAATGAGTTCCCATTATCTGTAATGAACCCGTCATGTTTTCCCCAGACTCGTCCTAACGCTGTCGCAGATCTGCCAACTGAAGTCTCTAGAGATCTTAAATGTTGCTCATAATTCACTCGGGAACATCCCTGATCAGATTGTTTTACTTTCATCACTCAAAGCACTCTTTCTTCAGAGCAATCAGATTGGTTCATTGCCACTCAGTGTCGGGTTGATGGAGTCATTGCAGCTCATCAAGATCAGTGGAAACCCCATTGAGTACCCCCCGCCGGAGATCTTCAAGGTACCCAATCATGCAGAAGAAGCAGATGCCATCGTCACCGCACGGATCATGAATTTCTTCAGGTGTGATGCGTACCCTCAGCTTCTCGTCCCAACTGGCAATCTCGATCTCATCGATGCCGCGGATGCTGTGGCCAGCTGTCTGCCCCGTTTACAGAGACTCCTCTCAATCGACCGCTTTGCCAGATTGACGCGGCATCAGTTTAACACGGTGTCAAATTTGGAACGCTTGGTGTCGCGCAGTGGGCTGCATCTACGAGAAATGCAATTGTACATCCAATTCGCTTCTGAAGGTGATGAAAGTGCCCAGGAGGGTCTGTCGAAAGCTTGTGTGCGGCTTGTAAGATCCATGTCGCGAGTGTGCCTCGAGATCGGGAGCAATTCCGATATGATAGTTGACCAGGCTGGAGTCCAAGACGTTCTGCCTCTTCTAAGCCTCCTGCATAGCACCTGTCGGGACCTGAGGTTTGCGCTGCAAGCATTCACCCCTAATAAGTCTTGCGAAACTGAAGATCCAGCCACGAGTATGCCTTTGACTGCTCAACCTGGTATAGCTGCTGCAGATATTCTCTCTGCTGCACAAGAACAGAAGTCGCTGTTGACCCATGGAACCAACACCAACAGCGATAACCATGATCAGTCGCTGGACTCAGTCGTGCTTTCTCTCTTGGAGGCTTGTAAAGCGTACAAGGATCTTCATGATCAGCTCCGGGGACAGATCTCTGCAAGTTGGCGCAAAGATGACGCGCGAGAGCCTAGGATGTGTCCAGTCAGGTCTTGGAGCCAAGCCTGCGCCTCCTGCTCAAAGACTGAAGAGGCTGCCTCAATTCTCCGAAGCTGTCTGCATCTTTACACCCCCAAAGCATACGCTGCAAACGACCCATCAGTTTTTATCGAGTTATCCTCTAGGTTTTTGAACAGCTGGGCAGACCTCGGCAAAGGAATGATGGCACTGAGAAAGGTTCTGTATCTTTCGACGGACGTGAGAAAGCAGTTGCAGAATACGCAGACAACTGTGAAGCGGGCCACGCAGCTTCTAAGCATTTGGATCGAACAAATCGAAAACAACACAAAGGCGGAAAATTACATTTGAGGCTTCGGGGAGACTTATTTTGATTTTACCCGCAAGCGAGGACAGATGAGACCGTTTTAGAACATGAGCTGTCATAGACGATAGAGAAAAGTTGATGAGACGGGAATGATGGGAAACATGGATGATTAATGCAGCAGTAATAATTAGAAGATCGGGACCAGTTGTCCCATAAGAATATTGTAGTGCTTGAATGTGAGACAAAAACTACTTTTTGGAATCTCTGCACTAATCGGAATACCACGCACCATATTTCCTCTCAGCATGTGAATGCTGAGCCAACCTCACCGGATCTGTAAGCATCAACGATGCTCTGAATCGTGGTATACGTTCCAGCCACGGTCATGAAAGATGCCAAAGCCACCGTGAAGCAATGCAATAGACACAGACCCATCTTTGCTTTACTCAAGGACCGTACTTCCCAATCCATGTACAGTCCCATAAACGCAGGAATAATAAGCTGTGGCACAAGAAGATGCAAAGTCAGAACTGGACTGTCATCTTGATCATGTATGGGTGAACTTACACATGTTGGCATGCAGCAGATAGAGCCGATGAGACCAACCAGGTAACTGAAAAATGGCACTGCTTCAGCAATGACGAAGGCAAGTGCACTGATTCCCAAGGTTGATCCACTTGCGACGTCAGTTCCATATGTCCTCATGAAGTCTGCGAGGTACTCACAGCCATGTAGCCCAGTGAACGAAACTCTTGTTCTGCAGATGAACCGAGCTGCGGAGAATGCGAACAAGCAACTAGAAGTTGTCAACGGCTCAACTCTGTCTTTGCAGTGGCAAAAACGACTCACAAACTTGGCGGCCAGATGGACCCACAGCGTGGTAGTCATGATGAAGCCGGGAATGGAAATGCCGTAGGCTATCTTCTCCAACGTTCCGCCTGCGCTCCCCAGTGATGGGCTGGCGACATACTTGCCACAATAACTTTGTAGTATTTAACATCTCCGTGTCATCCAGAAGGACCTCAAAATAACTCACATGTAGACGACGGTCCCAAAAGAGACGTAGCATGCGCCTAGGAAAATTTGAGACGAGAAAAGCGATTTGGTGAACGACCTTGGGCTTCTCATTTCCGCAATGACTGGCATAAAGGTAGGTGTCGAGCCATAGCCAACTAGGATATTGTGAGAAAAGGCTCCGACCAAGTGTAGCATTGCAGCGCTTACCGAAGAGGTTGATGGTGGCAACTACCCCAGGAACAAACGCAGGAGCACCAATGGAGTGAACCTCCATATCATAAGGACCCTCCTGAGGAGCAGCGGCTGGTCTATCGACCTGAGTAACGCCAACTCTGTAGTTGAGTGTCAATATCTAGCAGGATCTAGGTGATAGAAGAGGCCGAGTCTTACACTACAATGAATACGGCCGTGAATATCGAGGCAAACCCGATCCATGCCAGAATCGACAATCTTCCAAGCGTTGGAATACTGGAGATTAGTGCAGTACACGTTGCTGCGACGAGAGTCCAAACGATGTTGCAGACTGGGCGGTTAGAGAGTGTCTTGAATCCTTCCGCCAGGCCAACAAAGCCAGAACCAGAAGCTAGCCTAGACCCATGGTCAACTAAACATAGACCGCATTGGAGTCGGATAGAAGCTTACACCCAAGTCAAAAGAAACAGACCGCCTGCGACTTCGCGAGCCACGGGGCCACCCATTAGGGCAGCGGCATCGGCGATGTTGTGCACACCGGGATACCGCATTCTGAAGGCGTACATGACGTAGGCGTAATCTGCGAGTTACCCAGATTGTAAGTGATTGCAGAGTGCAGGCGAGGCCCAAGAAGATCAAAGAGCATTGCCGAGAACTCACAAGTCGTGAGGGTTCCCCAGCTCACAAGGAGAATAATTCCCGGCCCATATCCCACTGCGCTAAATGCTGACGGAATAGTCAAAACGCCGGTCGCGAAACACAGCTTCATCAAGATAATGACTGTACGTTTCCTGTGATTATGCCTTAGCAAGATTTCTCTACAGCAAGAAAGTCACGTAGTCGTGTTGCGCGTACCAGCCGAGAGCCCGGTATTGGGCTTGTTGGAAGACCTCACCGACATCTTCAACATCGACGGATCCGGTCTGACTACTGTCGCCAGGAACAGCATTGTTTGGGGCTGTCAAGTCTGGCTTCTCGGACAGATTCGGGCCTGAGCTTGTTTCGTAGGAGGAGGGCATTGTGGCGGACGTTTGTACTGCGAGGACTCAGTTGACTGGACAGTTTGCGGGCCAAGTAGAGCCGATGAACTAAAAAATCGAGTAGCTCGGTATTTAAGCTCAATGCGCAATGACTGCACGCTGTCTTACGAGGGATCACGGAAGGGGGCAGAGTGGTTATAAACATCAGAGGTCGGTCAACGAGTCCCTATCACAGACTCTTCTTGTCTCCAAATGCCGGGGTTCATGACCAGGGCAAACTACCCCTCAACCGTGCGGAGAATCCTTGAAAGTTGGAGGTGTTCGGACATGCAAAGGACGTAGGTATCTGATATCTACATGTTCCACTAAGCGTGGGCCTAGGACACGGCATTCCGTGGCTGTTGGCAAAGCATGCCATCTACCCCAAGGCCTGGCTGCAAGGTTATCAACCGGCTATGAATTCATTGGCAAGTGCAAGATAACGCTAGACAGAGGTGAGTGCAGATCTAGTCCTATTTGCGGGGAAGATTGCTTGGGTAACCCCATGGAGATAAAGCCCCCAACACCCACAATAGATAGAGCGGGTTCCACCTCGCGGATTCCCGACGCTAGCAGATTTCCGATAGCGATGCCATGCCGTCGAGTGACACCAAGGGTTGGAAGGCTGTCCGGTCTACCGGCGAACATCCTCAAATAGCCTAACCTGGTTCAATGCACAAGCCCGAATGCTGGCTGGTAACTCTAGAGATATCGGCAGAAGGATTCGTCAAGAAGAATGCGGCTTCAGAAATATTTGTAGTGCGTGATAATTGAAATTCCATTGACAAATCTAGGAATGGGCAGGAAACTCAGTCGGAACTGACGACTCTGAAAACATAACTTCCTCCGTTTATGGTGATCTCTTGATTTGCAGCCCAAATCTGGCTGTCTTTCTCCAAGACCTCAACAGCCTGAAAAGCTCGTGGAAGTCTTGAGACATTCCCAGACTCGAAAGAAACCTCCCAGCTTGCGCTAGAAACGTTGCGATCCTCCCGGCGAGCCGAGAATGAGCCGTCGGGGAACTTCTGAATAGCCAAAAATATGCCTCCGACCTTTCCAATAAAAATGTTTCCGTCTTCACTCTGAAGAATCCACGACATCTCGCTTGGTGCACTCTTCGATGTGATGTCCCGCCAGACCTCTTCATAGTCCGTCGGCGCACCGCCCTTGTGCGGGCAGGGGGTGGTTCCAATCTCCAAATCGTCTCCGTTGGGTAACTTGTTGAAGTAAGCGTCATCAGGAACGATGAGGTCAAGCGAATCAATGATGTGCGTCCACCGAAAAGTTGCTGAAGAAAGCCGCAGTCAGTTGTTTGCACACGAGGGACAACAAAGAAGAAAGCATGATGCGAGTGGTGGCATACGGGGAGATTGTTTCAAAATAATGCGTTCCCCGGCGCGGCTCCATTGTATGGTTTGATCTTCTCTCGTGACTCGTAAGTCGATGAAGTAGCCGCCGACATTGAGGGCGATTGTGTCGGTATCCTCGTATGCTGGTTCAGGAAGCCAGCGGATGCTGATGCGTTTAACAGCTTGAGAAGGCATGTTTTTGGCTTGGAAGGTTTAGGAACAGCGTGATGTAATATCAAAGGCAAACAGGTTGAAAAAATAAAGTCATGGAGAATCAGGTTTGATGAAGCTTCTTCTCCGACTTATGCTCGGAAAATGAGCGCAATGATTAAGTGCACCGGCACCGGACTGCACTCCTTCGATAAACCGGCATCGAGACCCACAAAACGGCACCAACGCATTTTCCCGGGTCAAGTCACTCTGAAGGCTTTCTATTGCCATGTTGGCGCCATAAGGTACACCGACGAATGACTGATTATGCTCTGTTCTAGGTCTGTAAATGGAGTTCATCTCATTACAGGGCACATCCATGACACGCCTAACAACTTACGTAAATATTATTCTCACGTCTTCAAACCTCAGCATGGCCAAGGAAAGAGGAAAACGCAGCATCGCGAAAGAAGGCAACATGAAATGTTTATTACAACATTCGACTGACTACGGGGTTCGACTTACTCTTCAGGGCTTTCCACCAATTTCTAAAGAGTTACCTGGCTGCTCTATGCTTGGAAGATGGAAGTGGGTGTGTTGGGCCTAAGTCACGTGTGATCTACATATATTACTCCCCGCACTGGCGGGCTGATTCTTTCCCACTCCCAGTGCTCGTTGGAACAGCTTTTGGGAAGCAAACCAGACAACCGCAGCAACCTGACCTTCTTTGTATACTCAATCGATTGAACCAATCGACTGGTATACCGCGGATGTGAAATGGATATAGTTGCATGCCCAAAGTCCAAGAGGCACAGATCCATCCCGGCATGTGCTAGATGTCACAAATCAAAACAAAAGGTAAAGTCTGTGGAGAACGGCGATAGGGCGCAGTGAGTCTAAGCTGTGTATTTCAGTGTGATAGAGGAACGCCGAGATGCTTGCGATGCGTTTCAGCCGGTGTTGAATGTACCGCAATCAATCGACAAAATTCCAGTGAAGTTCCTCGAAGGTTTGTAACATCCTCTGATTCACACATTAGAAGATGCTTTGAGAGAGAAAAACTACCGGCTTACTGACTTGGATGATAGTGCTGTTCAATACCTTGAGCAGAAGCTGGCCGAACTCGAAACCCTTACTACCACAAGAGAGGATGTTACGAATGCGGCGTTGCCGACACAAGACGACTTGAATATCAACGCTGTAGAAAAGGATATCCTCCAGATCGCTGGCATATCTGTTATGCGTTATTTGTCAGCAAGTGGCTTCGAATGCAGTGACAAAATTCAGCATAAGGCGAAGCTCTTTTACGGTTCTGAAAGACCTCCACTCAAAATTCCAATAGGTGGTATCTATCACGAGCTTAGCCCAAGAACGGCCGGGGATGCATACGCATCTCAATTTATCCACTTCAACGCTCGAAGAATACCTCCGCATATGGCAAAACGGCTTTTTGAGAGTTACAAAATGGACGTCCTGCCTAAATTCCCCTGCTTCGAAGAAGATGAGATTGGTAAATATTTCAACTTATTCTACGAGCTGGAACTATTGAAAACCATCGACGAAAACCTACCAGACATCGCAGATTTTGTAGTTCCCATGGTGCTGGCTATTTGCTCACTGACGTCCAGGAACAACAACTTCGAAAAGGTTGCTGCCCTGAGCGAGGCTTTACAATCCGATGCTTTGCGTCACGCAGAGCGGATTTTGCAGCGTGCATCAATCCCGTCATTGAAGTGCCTGCTTCTCATCATTCAACTCGCGCTGTTACTCCCGCATACCGCTAACTTATGGCATTCGACCGGGGAAGCTATGCGGGTAGCAGTGAGTCTGGGACTACACCAGGAGCCTGATGGCCGAATGATGAAGGACCACAAACTCTGCGAAGAGCGACGCAAGCTCTTTTGGGTTGTAGGTGTAGTATGACCTGTAATTCGGGAACAAGTTCTAACATCTAAATCAGGTTTACCAGCTTGATAGGATCGTTTCCATATCTGCGGGATGTCCTGTCGCCCTAAGTGACGAACACATCACAACCCAGCTTCCGTACGGAGGCGGCAGTCCTTTTCATGGTGATCCAGATAATAATCATCCCGGAAAAAGTCAGAGCGTGACGCAAAGACGGTTCCTCATGAGAACGCGTGCCTGCGTCTTACAGTCGGAAGTACACGCTACCCAGTTCTTCGATCAAGCCCTCCCAGACTACATCAAGGACCAAGCCGACTGGATCAACAAGATCAATGAAGCCATTCAAAAGCTTGCCACTGAAGCCACGCCTGAACCTTGGGCTGATCCATGGCTAATTTCAGCGCCTTATCAATGTCGCGTTCTACTCCATCGGCCCTGTTCCAGAAACATTGTGGTATCTGACGAGTCGTTACTGGCCGTTGTAATTGCAGCGACCAATCTGATTACTCTGGACATGAATGTCGCTAAAGCAGGGGGGCTCGTGATGGCATTCGAAATTGGCAATCGGGATTTTCAAGCCGGGATGGTTTTGCTTTACGCTCTCCGGAACCACTCTGCAAAGCTGGAGGAAGCTTCGCTTACGGTTACAGCGGAGAGAGCGCTTTCAGATCTTGTGCAACTATTCGTACGTACTTCATGTGTTTGTCTTTCCAGTTCCGTGACGAAGCCTAACATGGGCCAGAATCTGTTGTCCTCGAGATGGCCACCATTGGCAGACACTGCTGCATATATCAACGAGCTAGTCGATACGAATCTCCGCAATCCAGTCGGTCATAGTGGTAGCGCTTATGACATGAATGTCCTTGAGGAACTGGACTGTCTCGTCACCCAACGACGAATCCACAGCATTCGCCATCGCCACGTTGTATTGCCACAGCAGAAGAAATCAGCTGCTGCTGCCACTCAACCGAAAGATAGTGGTCAGCAGATGGGTGAAGATCTGTTTGAGGACGAAAACTGGTGGCGGGACTTCATCAACGATGATTTAGTTACGAACGACAGTCCCTTTTCACTGATTTCACCAAATGCCGCACAGAGTTCAGTTTCTATCCTCCTGCACGAGAGAATTCAACATCCGCCCGACCCAAGACCAGATCTTTCTGATCTAGAGAAGCAACTACGACCAATAATCGACGCTCTACCTTCATGCAGCTTTTGTAGAGACCGACGGATCAAGTGTCGTCTCCAATTACCAGCTTGCAAGGAATGCCATCGCACTTCACGTAATTGCGTGGTATATGACCCAATCCTGGGGAGCAATGTGCCGTTGGAGTATGTTCGAAAAGGATTTCCTTGGATCTTGCCGGATTGCTAATGATGAAGTTCAATAGGCGCATACACTCTCTCCTGGAACAGATCCGACATAAAGCTTCAACTAGTTCGCCAGCTCCTACACTCCGAACGAATGATGAACATGTGAAAAGACGTACAATGGGTGTCCTGCTGCCAGTGAGACCTGGCCCGCAGAAGGAGCTACTATGTGGTGATTCGCAACGCAAGTATGGCGAATCGTTCTTTGGGACGTCGAGTGCTTTTGGTTGCCTTCGGAACTTACTTCAGAAACGCCCATTCACAATTCCCGAGACTCTGAGAACTGCCACCAAGTGGAATTGCCACATCGTTTCGCCAACGAGATTGCCTTGGAACGGCGAGATCACTAAGACGTTAGCTGAAGGTCTTTTTCAACTGTTCAACCGATCTGCGAATGCCTTCTTTCCTGTGTTGGAATTTTCAACCCTTGACCGCATTCTAAATGGATTCTTTGACTTTTCAAGGTCGCAGCCAAGTACAGATGCTGAGTTATTCTATCTGGTGGTGGCAATAGCATCTTCGGTTGGCACAAAGAGCGACCCTAGGCTGGTTTTATGGGCGGAGTCATCATTCGCAAAGGCTATTGAAGTCTTACACACTGACTGCGACCACAGCTCTCGCGCATCAAATGTTCTTCTATTTGAAAGGACCTTGCTAATTTGCATCTATCTCCTCCTGAATCCACAGGCTGGTGACATTTGGCAACATCTGGGTTTCGCAATCAGACACTATCTGGACCTTTCCCATCGTCCCTCTACGGAGGAGTTAGACGAGGGTCATGATTGGTTTTGCACTCTAACGAGGACATTGTATTGTCTAGAAAGGTATGCCCCCAAGTATTCCAGCCTACATCTGATAAGACGTCTGATATTGCCTTAGTCAAGTTTCTATCGCCTTCGGACGACCCAGCCTTCTGGCCATTGGCGATGGGCTTCGCAAGGTGAGTACAATGCCGTTCAAGTGCATTTATGATCTTGTCTGACCTTCTTTTAGGAGCTTACCAATCAAACTACTGGCACGATCAGAGAGCAGATTTCCGTATCGTCGTATTTAATTGCGTTTCTAAAGATGAAAATTCACAACACTCTTTTAGCAAATGATGCGAACAGCCTAAAAGTGAAAAGAGACGATCTCCAAGGAGTCTGTCAAGAGCATCGTCGGCTCCTAGACGAGTGGTTCGTGCGTTGGAAAGAAAGAATGAACTCCGTTCCAGAGGTGGCAAAAGAGTCCTATGCCGGATTGATTTCTTGGATCGAGTTCAGTTACCACCATGGATTATTCATCATATCCCTCCTGTGGCCCACTGCAGGAGGAGATGCTGCTCGTGTCTGCAACGCTTTGTCCGATGCGGGCTTGCAACTTACGAGGCAACAGCAGTTGTTCGGACAATTATTTTCGGTTGCCCAGGATGACGCACCCATCCTGGTTTTTCCGATTAACTGGGCAATGTCTCACACAGTCTTTCAGTTGGGATTGTCCACCATCGATAGTAACTCCAAGTCATCTACCCAGGAGGAAACGGGCGCTAGGTCAACAGCACTTGAACGCTGTTTATCTCTGGTTTTGCAACTTGAAGCTGACTCAACGAATCTTCTGATGGGGCAGTCCGTCGTACTTCGAGAGTTGATTTCTAATTACTAAGATTAGGAAAAGAAGCGCAGGTGGCCTTGGATACCATTCTTATCATTTCCAAGGAATTCAGTTAGGCTGGACTGTAGTAATCATCCAAGCCAGTCGAATGCAAACAAAGATCGAATAGAGCGACTCGAAAGACCGTCGAACACAGTTCTGGGAACGTGAATCGTATTCCATGGCCGGGATCCAACGTGATTTCGGCTAAGCCTGGCAGCAACTCTCTTAGAAAAGGCCCAATCTTGACAACGGGGAACTGTCCCCGCTGGCGTATCCACCATCGGAAGGGCGCCGTGGGTTTAAGAAAATTCTGCGCCGAGCCATCTCTTCTACCAATTATTCACACAGATTTCCAGTAATCACTCCGATATGGTGTAGTGGCCAACATGATGCCCTCTCATCTTCGAGAGGCAGGCATAGCCCCGAGTTCGATTCTCGGTTTCGGAACATTTTCTAACTTTTTGCCTCTGAACCTTTCCTTTTCAATTCCATAATACGAAGCTACACGGTGCTTCACGCTCTTCTCATTCGCATGAATCGTTGGCCATCCATGCTAATGAGTTGTGCAATATGAATCTTCTTGGACTTTTCGTTCGTCGCAAGTAATCGAATAAGAGAGTTATGAGATACCAGAATCCAGCCACAGCAATTGAAAGGAGACTAGTGAGCTGATCAATTCATCCGAAACGCCTCAGCTAGCCACATTGCTGTGTAGCGCCCACGCCTCCGTCGTCATTACAAATGTCTCAAAGCAACCTGGCGTGTCTGGGTGAATGGTCAATACCACCACGGCATTTGCCGTAGGGGCATGCTCTCGCCATTCAGAGTCATCCTCAGCCGCACCCAAAGACTTCCCACACCTTCACGGACACCTGCCACCCGCGAAGTCTGTTGCAAATACCTCATTCTTCAAAGTTGATATCAGCGTTCCGAGGAAATTTGCAGTCAATAATCATTCGAGTTCATTAAGCTGGCATACTTGGCCATCGGTCGGTTTCTAATCCACCTCGAAAGCCTGAAACGTTGAAGCAATGGCGACAAAGTCAGTATCGCCTGCTCCCAGTGTTTTCGCAACCTTCATCCGCAGAGGCACCAGCAAAGCAGTTTTTCTTTCACGAGAAGGACATCCCGCCGCCTGGCGCAGCGCGTGACAGATTTCTGGTTCGCATCATGGGCTCGCCAGACCCTGCCCAGATCGACGGCATGGGTGGTGGGCGTGTTGTCACCTCAAAGGTTGCCATCATTCGACCATCCAAGCGACCCGACGCCGACATCGATTACATCTTTGCTCAAATCGGTCTCGGGGAGGCAACAGTCTCGTATGATGCAAACTGCGGCAATATTTCTTCTGGTGTTGGGCCGTTCGCGATCAACGAAGGCCTGGTCAAAAGCTCAACATGGTGCGATGGGAAAAGAGTTGTGAAGATTTACAACACGGGAACGGATGCTCTGCTGGTTGCCCATGTCCCTGTTGATCCAGCAACCGGACGTGCTTTGGAGAAGGGAAATTATGCTATCTCCGGCTGTCAAGGTACGGGTGCGCCTATTCTGATGGACTACTCCCAGGTAAGTCTGACCTCCAATTTCGTACGCGGCAGAAATGTAACGCAGGAAGTAGACCGCCTTGCCCAAGAGGATGCTTCCGACTGGCAATGCAATTGATCGCCTCGATTGTACGTTCGGAACCGTTGACGCCACATTTTGTGAAGTTGGGAACCCAATCGCCTTCGTCACCGCAGGAAGCGTGGGTATTGCAGGGGATGAACCAGTCGATAGTATCGATTCTGATAGAGAGCTTGTGAAACGCGTTCGAGAAATCCGCGGGAGAATTTCCCAGAAGTTGGGTAGGTGCAAGGAGTGGGAGAATGTTGATGAACAGTCTCTCATGTTGCCAATGGTAGCTGTGGTGTCTAAGCCGACCTCGTCTGAGGGCCACATTCAGGCACGCCTTTTTCTTGACAATCACTGTCATCCGAGCATGGCAGGCACAGGAGGTGTATGCACAAGTGCTGCCAGTCGTATCAAGGGGTCCGTCGTTAACCAACTTCTAGCCCCCGAGACGCTGATAGAAGATGAGTTCATCATTCAGCACCCGACAGGACATCTCCCAATCTCTGTCAAGACTGATGACTGCGAATGCTACAGTGGTACACCGACTTTCCATAGACTGGGCTTCATGCGCACTGCAAGATACATCTTTCAGGGAAATTTATTCATTCCCTCAGGTTTGGAGTAGAGGCTAAAAGCTCTATACATGTAAAGTGATGATGTGCTTCCGGGGCGTTTTCATAGCTTAAGCGCTTAGCTAAGTTGAAACCACGATGAACAATGGGCTCTTGCCAGCACATTTAAATGGGATGTGACACCCGATGTTATTGCAGCACCTTTCTCGTCTTGTGTCACACTCGAAGGAACAGCGCCATCGCCTAAGCTGTAAGTAAGCGCGATCCCTGAACAACGCCTCCGCGTCACTCCGCCTAAATACAGTAGTGCTTACTCGCCAATCTCACCGATATAGAGAGCGACTGGCCCAAGGTCCTTGATGCATGATTTTTGCGAAACCTGATGTCCGAGCATTCCGACACACGCTCATGATGCTACTGTACCGCACCGCAACGTTGCTATGGGTTCTCAATGCCCTGGCGCCGGGTGTTTCCGCGTCGCCCAAGAAGCCATGTCCAATTGACAAGCGATCGGCCCAGGAAGTTGTGCAGAAGCTCGGCCTCATTCCGAATGAAGAGAAGGGCTACTACATCCAGACGTTCCAGGATCCCGATACGGACAGCGGCAACCGCTCAGTTAGCACAGCGATTTACTACCTTCTGGAGGGGTCCGTTGGGCCTTCGATCTGGCACCGTGTTGATGCAGCAGAAGCCTGGCACCATTATGCAGGAGCTCCTCTCACTTTGTCCCTGTCATACGATGATGGGAACCCGGTAAAAGAGATAGTGCTCGGTCCTGACGTCTTCGACAACCAACAGCCCCAGTACGTCATTGCAAAGAATCAATGGCAAAGGGCAACGAGTCATGGAAGCTGGACTCTTGTGGGAACAACTGGTAAACTTTCCTCTCCGCGTATGAAACATCAAATTCTAATCTAGAGAAGTTGCTCCTGGGTTTGTCCCCGACGGAGTTGAACTCGCAGACCCTGATTGGATGCCAAATGGAGCCTGATTTATGTGTTGTGTACATTTCATGTTGGACAAATACCAAATTTTCATCGACCAATATGTCAACATCCTTCTGTATTGGTGACGGTCTTAGCGCAATGATTATCGATGTCTAGGTACAAAAGCATCTTGAAAACATCTAGCTTGACGGTTGACCTCTATATCTCGTCGTTCTTCTTGATGCTCAAAACAGGTTCAGAGAAATCTACCTCACACTGTCCAGGCAAAGCAACTCCGTATGAGTCGTATTCCAACTGTCCTGTTGTCTCATTAACAGCTACCCATCTCCTGTTGAGGAGGTCTCCATCCTGGGCCCTGTCGTTGAAGTTTTGTGGGGCAAACACAATGCTGCTAACAGCTTCACTGTAAAGAGTGACAGGAATGTCCTCAGCTCTGGTAAAGTGATGCATTCCCAAGTTGAACCATAAGACAATGTCCTCATTGTCAGTGCCCTCGCCATCGAAGAACTTGAGGAAGTCCTGCTGAGGCTTCATGGGAAGGTTGACGTTCGCGTGGCTGTTTGCGTATGGCTCGTTGTCATGCTGGCGAGAGAGTGCGAGATGTGACTTGGCAAATGGTGTTTGGTGCTTGGTCCAAGGCGAGTTCAGCGGGGTAAGGTGGATGTTGGACTTGCCTGGCACCACGCGGTAGCCACGCTTCTCGCCCCATGCGTTGGTGGCGTTGGGGTTGACGATGCAGTACATGGCAGCATTATTCGGCTGCCAGTTGAACTGCTGCTCCTCAGTCATGATGGACTTCTGCAACTCCATTTGCTCGAAAGATCCGAGCTCGGGATACCAAGGCTGAGTTTGATTGACGACGACGAGCTGGCTGACTTCCAGGCTGTTCTTGGTGTCAAGAATGTCGAAGTCGGCTTTGTAAGTAAGAATGTGGTCGTGGAGTGACCCCATAGTTGCCTCCTGAATTCTGGGACCGAAGTTGCCCTGGTCTGCGTAATAGAATGATGACTGCAGGAATCCTGAAGCACGGACAGTGACCTCCAGAGAGCCATCTACATGGAATGAGTAGTCAAACATGTAGTCGTAGTTGCCGACAGTCGCGACGGATCTCATCGTCAGCGCGGACGCCTTGACGGTCCCGAGATAGCTGAAGCCGTAGTCGTTGCTGCTTCCGTAACGATGGCGAGAGACCGGATATCCGGCATCAGCCTCGAAGATGCAAATGGCGTCCGTGTTCACAACCGAAGAGTTGCCCTCGTGATATGTGACGTTCCAGAAAGTGCTGCCAAAAGGACAGTCGTATCCTTCCACAAGGGTGCCAAGGTCTGTACCAAGGCTGTAGTAGGTATCGTGGTACACAGTTCCGGCAGCCTTGGGAGTGAATCCGGCATATTGAGCAGCTGCCTCTTGAAGAGAGAGCTCGTAGATAACGCGCTCACCCTTGAACTTAATGTCATAGTACATCAGCCCAAGGGTTCTCGAGTAGGATGTATAGAATGACCACCCCATGTACTCGATGTACTTCTCTTGCTCGTCGACTTTGTAGCGCTTGCCACCAACCTCAAGACTCTGAGGCGCCAGCTTGTCCTCGAGATCTCTGACGCCCATGTCTGGCTTGTGGTCAAGAAGGCCCCAATCAGGAGTTCTTGTTTGCTTGAATGTCTCCTTCAACTCGCCTGCATCCCAAGCAGCCCTGAAGTCGGCGACAGTGGCAAAGAACTTTTCGTTTGTGACAATGCCTTTCAACTTGTAGAGAGAGGAGTCCGTGCCAGTAACGTCGAGAATGACGAAGAAGTCCAAAGGAGTGAGGTACGTGGCAGTATTGGGATATCTGAACATGACTGTGCGAAAGGCTTGCGTGCCATCATATGACAACGGCGTTCCGCTTGTGGAAGTGAGAGTTGTGCGGTTATCAGAGGAGCCATAGTAAACTCCATCAATGAGTTGGGAAGTGATATCCGAGATGTTGCTCATGACAGAGATCAAGAGCGGCTCCGACGCTGCCGTGCGAGCGTTGTCAAAATAGCGACTGTTGTAAGGGATCTTGCCACCACTTCCGCCGTTGAAAATGTAGTCGAGCCTTTCGATCTTGGTAGTGTTGCTGACTGGAAGCGGTCCAACCATGTACTCTTGCGAATCTGGTTCTGCTTTTCCGCCTGCGAAGATGACAACGCGAGCATATTTTGGCGGAGGCTGAGCTGTGCCACTGAGATATGGCAGGACGTCAGACTTGTTGGTGTGGAGAGTGTCGATCCAGTAGACATAGTTGTCCGTGACATTTGCAATGCTAGGGTCCGTGAGATTCAGGCCCGCGGCTGGGTCATGAAGGAGATTCCAGACAGCCAGATTGTCTTCAGGCGAGATTGGGGACCAGACGTTAGTCTTAGGTGCCTTGACCTTGGGTGCCGATTCGTTGACATTGCAGGTAGTGATATTGGCTGCTCGCTTGAACTGTCGGCTTGGCCCAGGAGAGGCTGTTGCTAGCAGAACATCCAAAGCCAGAAGGCTCAGCGCAAGTTGCTTCAAGACCATTGTGACGGCAAAGTTGCGCGAGCTTTTTCGTCCACACCGAGGTTGATGTACGTACTAGAGAGGACCGGGGAACTGAACGAGAGATGGCAGCTTTTATGAACGATTGTGGTCCGAAGTCGCAATGCCCTTCAGAATACCCGGCTAAGAGATCTGTCGTTACTGATAGTAAGTATTGACGAGAGAAATGATGCCAAGCTTCTAGACTTACGGAAGTTTTGCCGGTCCATGCCCTTGGGACGGACTTCACCAGTCGCCCGGGCCGGGTCAAGATACGTGGCTTGGCGGAATGTCTACGAGGAACCGTTAGCAAACTTCGTGTCGTTGAGCCCATCGTCCTTGCAAAGTCCATGTAGATTCAAAGTGCGGTATCTAATCTAATCTGCATGCCAAGAGTTCTGATGGACATCTCGCTGCTGTCTTGCATTATCAGACTGCAACCACGGATAGTAAGGCGCACACAATCCTGCCATCTGATTTCTTATCGGCGCGGCCAGCGTCTTCGAAATCACATCGAGGAGTGTTTCTCATACGTAATTGCTTCAGATGACGATTTTGAGAGTACTTCGCGGGAAAGATATTTGATGTTCGACAGGCTGTACCCAGTTGTTTATCCTGAACCTGGCAATAGTTCCCCGCGTGTTGGCAGTGCGGGGTTGAAGGTCGGAGACGTCGGGGCTTATCAGTGTAACCTCCCGCTGCTCGCGAACTCTCGACCTTGTCGTCCTAGCTCCCTCTACCTGACTTTCGTTCATGATGACAGCGCTGTTCATCCGATCCATGCTAAGAAGATTACAGAAAATCTGAGGATGACTACGCAATCAGCGGCAAATGGTTCGCCAGCATTGATATGTCCAAGGTAGGTAAGATCTCAAGAATGGCAGCCGTCGGAACATGGGGTGACCGGGGCCGACACTGTTTTTCGGACAAGGGTCCGCTATCGCCCGAGCATCGGCCACGCCCCCCGATGGCGGCTCTGATAAAGACGGTAGAAGCTGGTGTATAGAGACGACGAGCGTTCCGCGGGTTCCATCATCGTCATTCACATATGTTTGCTATCGGGGCAAAGATGGAAGTGGCCTAGGCCCGGATCAGAGGTCCAGTGCTCGCGGCATGCAAGTGCACCTCGAACACCTCCTTATGCTGGCTTCGGCATCATTCGAGACCTTCACACAAGCTCTTCTAGCGGCCAACACTCATATGAGGACTTGATAGGGCTGGAATGGATGTAAGGCATCGCCAAACGGACGACAAATTAGTGTGTCATTGACGCAATTAGTTCAATTGAGCAGTCGAAGAAACGTCTTTGGCTTTTTAGTCAATGTTCGAAGTTAGTTCGCCTGAGTAGAGCAGTCGTGAAATGACTGTGGCAGACCGCTCTAGTCCAGGCAGCAGCAAGGCTGCTGGGCCGCAAGGGAGGTACTGACGAGCGCATTGGCAAGAATCCAGTGTTTGTATGTTAACAGCACTATTCTTATTCAACGCCAATGTCGCCTAGAGCTCGCCTAAAATCTCACGCTACTGTTAGTCGCAGATCGTCCATGTTGAGTCACCATTCGAACTACAGCGATATAAAAGCTCCAAAATCATTCCTGGAGGAAATCATTTGGTTTTTCTAGACCAACTTCACATGTAGCGACATCATGGTCAAAACCCAAGGTCAGACGTCACGCATCGTCGCACGCGGAGCGCCGAGCAATGGATACCTGCAATGCCTGCCCTCGGAGCTCATTGCGAGAATAATCGAGAACCTCGACCTCAAATCGATGAAAAGATTCCGCCTCGCGAATCGTTTCACCGCTGCACAATGTTTGATACCACCATTCTTGCGCTTTTACTCCCATCAGTCTGCAAGCTTGACGCCCATGAGCCTAGAGCATCTTGTCGAACGGACGTCCAGCAAGATCGTCTCTCGAGCCGTCAAACACATTACAGTCCATGCTACAAGGTTCGCTGCATCGGACTCTGGCAATGACGACGGAAGGCTTGTTGCTGAGCTCGCCACGGCTTTGGCGAACGTTGGCACTCTGGGTTGCCTAGAAATCAGCCCCCAAGAGAAACGCTTTCGTAAATGCGGAACGAAGAGACGACGCCCAAAGTGGCAACCGGCGGACGCTCGGGAGTTTCAGTCGGAAACTGCGCGGGCTGGGGCGGGTCTTACAATCGTCGTGTCTGCGGTTGCCCGCAGCGGTGTATCCATCAACGAGCTAAAAGTGTTTTGCTCCCCGGTGTCGTACGGCAGCGTGGTACAGACTGTCTTTCTGACCGATATTCTGCCAAAGTTGAGAGAAAAAGACTCGAAATTCGGAGCGGCTGTCGAAAACATGGAGAAATTGTCAATCAGCCTTGGTACGAGGAGGAACCCCAAAGAGGTCCCGTTCCGACTGGGGAGTTACCCAATTATTCCATACTTGAGTGCTACCGACCGCAGGGCTCTTGCCAAAGAGAACTTTCCTGGCCTCGCTGGATTGCTTGGGTACATGCAAAATCTCGAGACGCTGGAAATACATCTGCACAACACTTTGAAGGGGAAGACATTTGCATACAGCGAGATGCTTGACTTAGTTGCAGACCAAGTAAAGTTGCCGAAGCTGAGGAAGCTGACTCTCGACATGGTTCCGGTCAACGAAGCGTCTTTTCTCACGTTTTTGGCCAACAGCCCATTCATTGAGGATCTGAGCTTGCGGTTTGTGCACATCAGACAGGGCTCCTGGAAATCATTTCTGGGTAAAATCACCAACCCTTTGGCAAAACTGCAGCTCGACTGCATTTCGGATGATACGCGGAACAGCATTAACCTCTGGCCAGATGGCCTGCCAGGCATGCAGGAGGAGGATTCAGACGTTTCTCATGGCGACGGAGAGCATGTCGATGCCTCGTCTCTCGACAGTGCTAAGAATCTATACAAGAGAGACTTCAACACCGAGGAAATACGACAAGGCCTGGTTCTCAGGTAGTCCACTGGCAAAACCTGATATTGTTATAAGGTATAAAGCGAATAATAACACGATGCATGACTACCAACTGAATGTTGCGTGTATCAGGGCCTTGAGGAACATATGTCGCATGGAAATGAACTTGACCACCGAGGGCTGCATTGGCAATAAGGGCTTGGTATATCAAGCGAGGTCTAGGTACATCGGCCTAATAGGCTTTATTCTATGCTTACGGCCGTTGGCTTGATCTTGAGAATTTCAAACCAACTCATCCCCTCTATTGTATGTGGCACCGTGAACACACCAAGACGTTTCCTCACATGCTGTCCAGATTCAGGATTACAAATTCCAGAGAGAACAAGTCCAACATCCATCCCTTGGCCCTCGCCGGAGACGTCATCTGTTGGGGGATCACGTCCGTCGAAGAAGGCCTTCACGCTGCCGAGGAGCAGGACCACCAGGTCCAAATGCTGCTTTGTGCGTGAATGAGAGAGGTACAACTCAGCCAACCTGTCGCAATCTGGTCGGAATTCCGCACCAGGAAAGGGCTCCGAGTCGGGCCGGTAAAGTCCTATGTGTTTTGTCGACATATTGAACGAGGGTATCTTCGCGTCTTCATGGCTAGTTTCTGTCACATACTCCGAGTCAAGCTCCACCGGCATGATCTTTCCCTGCAAATGAAGCAGATGAGGCTTGAACACTTCGTCGGAAGGCAAGGGCATGTCTGTGGAATATGATGTGGATGCAGTGACATGATGCAGAATCATCGTATTGCGCGAAACTAGTTCCCAGCGCTGAATACCAATCAATTAAGCTAAGACGAGGCCTCTAGCTTAACTAATTAACTGATTTTTCGCCTAAATCTTACTTAATTTAACTATTTTGATTTAATCTTAATAAAATTACCTATTTAAGAAGTTAGTGAAGCCCTCACGATATATTAATAAGCTAGAAACTTATATTATATAGTATTTTAATATTATTTTACTCTCTATTAACCTTTCTTTTTAAAGTAATACTTATTAATAGTAATATTACTACTTTAAACCTAATTCTAAAAGTATTATATCTCTTTAAGTAGTAATAGCTTTATTAATAACTTCTATAATATTAGTATTAGTTTAGTAAAACTAAATACCCTCTTATAGTTAGTTATTATTACTAAGATAGTAAAGATATTAAAAGTAAGTTTACTAAGTATTAAGAAGGTCTATTAATATAAAATCTACTACTAAATAGGATTATTAATAAGCTAAGTAACTAAGAAAGTAAAATACTTCTCTAACTTATTAACTTTATTAATAGTAGTATTATAAAAGCTACTATCTAACTATTAACTATAATTAGAGTTTTTAAACTTTAAAAGTATTATAATTAATATAAATAGCTTTTATAGAGGCTTTTAATAAGTTAGTTTATTAGTATAAGTAGCTATCTTAGTATATTATTACTCTTAGTACTCTTAAAGACCTTCTTTAGTAGTTTAGAGCTATTTATAAGTCTTTTAAGTATTCTAATACTTTTTAAGCTATTATAAACCTCTACTAAGGTATAATATTATAGTAATAGTATAGAGGGGAGACTTTTTAAGCTTTTTATAGTAGTTATTAAGTATTTATTAGCTATTAATAATTAATAGGTATATAAATATATAAGAAGTGAAGTTAGTAGCTTAAGGGGGGTATAATAATATAGTAATATATTTAGATTATAAATAAGTAGAGATATTATTAATTAATAAGGTCTATAAAATTAATACTTAGCTAGATTAATATAATACCTTTATTAATTAAGATTACTATAATAAGAGATTTTAGGATACTTATAAAGCTATAAGATTAATCTCTTCTTAAGTAAAGGTATTATAGAACTTATATTAGTCTTTAAGTTAATCTAAGAGATATTTAAGGTTTATTAAGATCTCTTAGAATTAACTATACTTATTACTTTTACCTTAACCTTTATATTACTTAGTTTATAAATAGAGAAGCTTAAGTATCTTATTTAACTTAGTGAGGACTTATTAATCCTTATTAATTAGGATATCCTTATTAGGGATATAATTATCCTTATTCTTAAACTTTAGGGAGTAATATATATAACTAGTAATTTAGCTATATTTAAGTAGGGTATAGTAGATTATATTATATATTAAGTTCTATTAAGTAGTATTACTTAATATTAGATTTAGCTTTTATAATAACTTCTCTTATAGAGTAAAGGTATACTTATTATTATTAGCTTTATTATTAATAGATAAGAAAGCCTCTAAATATTATAGTAATAATCTAATATACTTAATAATATTCTAAAGCTTACTAATAGGTCCTTTAGTTTTCTAATAAGCTAAGTCCTCTTAGATCCTATTAGTATTAATAAAATAGTTAGACTTTTACTTAAATACCTCCTTATTAACCTTATAAATAATAGTATAACTAATAAGGTTAAAGATATAGCTATAGTATTAAATTTAATAATATTAAGCGTCTATTTCTATATATAAATATAAAATAGATAGATATAGAGCTTTAATATAAGTACTATTAGTACTAATATTATTAGAGACTATAATATTAATCTTATTAAGTAAGTATTAATCTTTTATAACTATATATATTATAGTAGTAATATTCTCACTAGAGTAGGTATTAAACTAATAGTAGAGACCTAAGAGATATTATACTTATTTACCTAACTAGTTAATAAAGTAGCTAAAGATAGTAATAATAGCATATTAATTAGGGGAGGTTTATAAGTTAAATAATATATAAACTTTTATAAGAGCTTTCTATATCTCTTATTTAATTTATTACTTCTTAGAGTTATAGAGTTATTAAAGTTAATCCTTCTAATTAGTTTTTAACTAATATATCTAAGCGTTAATATTATAATTAAATAAAGTAAGTATATACTATATATACTAATTACTAAACGTTATAAGAGGGTTATTAATATTAATAAAGAAGCTTATAGCTAGCTCTTTAATCTATATAGTCTTCTACTTAAGTATAATAATAGGGAGAGATTAGTAGTACTTAAATAGAGTACTAAAGTTATTAGGATTATTAGTAAATATATTACTAACTTTATAAGTATTTTAGAAAATAGAGTAATTATACTTAAAGTACTAAGTAAAGTTAGAAGTAGCTATAGTATTAAATAGTTAATTAAGAGTCTCTACTTTATTATAGTGTTAATAAATCTAATAAATACCCCCTCTTATACTATTAAGTATAATCTTAAAGATAAATATACCCTTATTAGTAATCTAAGAAGTATAACCTTAATTTCCCTTCTTTAAGATAGTATTAATATTAATAAACTACTAGTTTTTCTATATAGCGTGAAGTAGGGTTTTAAAAGTGTTATATATAGCTAGGTTAATAGTTAATATATTATTAGTAGTAGTAGATAATATATAAATCTAAGTAGTAATCCTATAAAGAGATAATACCTTATACTTAATAAAGTGATTAATATATTAATTATAAGCTAGTAGAGGTATCTTAGTAATAAGTAAGAGGTTAAAAAAGATATTAAGAAGTATATATAAATAGGATTTTAAGATATAGTAGTAGTAATAGTAATAATAGTAGTAGTAGTAGTAGTACTAATAGTAATATTAAAAAAGGGTTATTTTTAAAAGCTAGTAAAAAAGTTAAAAAATAAGCTTTTTTTAAGCTTTAGTAAGGAGGCTAAAAATATATTAATCTAGTAGTATAATAAAAAGTATATTTCTAATATTTCTAGTACTTCTTAGTAGTACTAACCTTATTACTAAGAAGTACTTAGCCTTATTCTACTACTTATTAGTATAAAGGTATTACTAAACTAATATTAATAATTACTTATTTTTTTTTTTAAAGATATATTATAATAAGACCTAATAAGTTAGTAGTAAATCTACTATATAGGGAATTATAGAGATATTAGTTTAAAACTAGCTTAAGTTATTAACTATAATATAAAAGCTTAAAGGGTTATAACTTTAAGCTACTAGAAAAAAATATCTAGTTAACTTTTTTATTTTTTATTAAATCTTTTAAAAATTCTAATTAGTTTAGAGGCTGGATTTTTATTCTTTTAGGTAATATCATCTTATTAAGCCTAATTAAGCTGATAGCGCTATCAGCTTAATTAATTGATTGTCTGAATAGCCTTAATTTGATTAGTTGATTGATTGATTGATTGATTTGGCTTGGTTGGTATGCTGCGCTGCTAGTTCCACACTGTTGCATTTGAAATCTTTGGCCGGGCTTAGAGCCCCGGCCGAGCTCGGCCAGCAGATGTCTTTCGCAGTTAACAGCTTCTCGCCCTTGCTGAACTGCATGCTTGTCCACGACCACGAGGGAGCGTAGTAAGGTATGGATTTCATTGGAGAGTAGTCCGGTGACGTCTTTGGCGAAAGCCTATGTTGTATGGGCCATCCGCTATCATCATGAAGGCGACCGACGCTCCAAAGAAGGTCGTACGGTAATTTGGTTGCGTTGTCTTCGGACATTGAGATGCCGGCAACCCAATGAACGCGCGACTTTGGATCCTCTGCTTCGGCAGATAATTGAGAAAGATGACAGAAGAAAGCGCTTAACGTCAGCTGTCTGTCGTCTCTCCCATGAGGCAGGTGCATGATACCGCGGAAAACCTCATCAACCATTAGGCCATTCAACTCCAAGTGCCCTGGGGTTTTATCCCAGGTACATTGCATCTTTCTATCCAGTTGATGATTGTGAGTTTCAGCCATACACTCGCAACGCTGGTCTTCCTGACATTCCCACACCATCTCAGAGTTTCGAAGATAGAGAACTCTTGGCGACAGGGCGATGCCTTGAAAGGAGGAATCGTTGCCAAATATTGAAATCATCTCATCTCGAGTTCGACGACCGTAGTAATGGCGCTCCTCCCTGAGAAGTTGGTGAGCATAATACATGGAGTCTCGAGCATATATAGTGTAGTCGCCGCCGCGGTGGTTTACCGAGATCGGGAAGCACTCGGGTGTCTTCTCGGGGTCCACATCGCCTGAGATGACTGTCCGAGGGCCAAAGCTGCTATGGCGAAGATCCTTGAGGCCAGTGATGGCAATGGTGAGAAAAGAGCCGCGGAAGATTATGTCCTCTCGATAAATGTGCCAGGAGCCGTCATCGTCATCGTCCTGCAAAACGCAAAAGTCTTTGACCCAGACGTATCGTATGCCCTGTTCATGGGCCACGATAAGGGTTTCCTGAATTGCCTTGGGGATCTGCCACCATTGGATCTTCTGCTTCCTCTCCTCCAGGTTCTCCCACCGCGTCGGTGCCAGGGGTGGTTGCAATTGTTCAACGCAGGAGTGTACGACTGCTGCATAAGGCTTCGTGTCCAAGGATGCGTCGACTAGTTTCATTCCCATTCGAGGATTCTTTCCGAGATCCAAGAGTCTCTTTGGCGCCATCGCCGTGTCATATTTACCACCGCAAAATGGCTTGCTGCAACGCTCGTGTTGTGAGAGACAGGATGAAAGCCATCCCTTGACGACCTTTTGTCGCCGGTTGGAGTGGAGCACCGGAGCGACTTCATATGCAGGTTTGAACGTTGGCCAGGGAGATGGTTTATCTGGGTTTAATGTTATCAAAATGTCCTGATCAAGCCGTCAGAACATCGCTCACCTGGCTTAACGAAAAGGTCGCATCGTCCACGAAGAACCGGCTGCGAAACATCTATCATACCATCTGCCCCTTGGATAGTCTCGGAGACAAAAGCTACCATGAGGACTTTGTGAAAGTAGATCGAGATCCTTGTCTCTTGATCCCAGTCTGGGTCGACTCTCCTGATCTTGTCAAGCCCAAATCGTTGATAAGCTTGGTAGATGATGTAGCAAAAGTGGCAGCCAGCCTTACTCGATCGCTTAACGATCGCAGCCCATACACGGAACCAATGTTTAGCGGCTTCGGGCTTGAAGCCGGGGTAGTCATCTTGAAGATTGGGGAACTGGTTCGGGTCTAGGTCGTGACATACGATGCATGGGGGTTTCGACGGCAGAACCGCCTGTCTCGAGTCCTGGATACCCGCCATGGCTTCAAGGATCTTTCCAATGGAACTCCTTGTTTCGGCAAGAGGTCACAGTGGTTATTGACGTTTTGTGAGGTTGGTAAGGCTTCGGTCGGTGTGATGCTCGAATGCCGCAAAAGGACAGGCAGTGAAGATGGAAGAAGGGGCCAATGAGGCAATCAGATGGTTCAGGTCGGATCAGTTGGACCCACCATTACCGCTGTCATCTATGCCCGCTTATGTAATGTCCCCTTGGGATTCATATTACCGTGATTGATGCCCGTGGTCGACTTCAATTCGCTTCACCGATCAGGTTCTGAGATGTTTGTAGATTGATTTAATCAACTTTTGATTTGTCTATTCCTTGCGGGTATCTGGTTAGAAACTATCTGATCTATGAAAAACAGCGCTATTCTATCGTAAATGGCACCGTATTAAATCCCTTCTCTGGCGCGGACGCTCTCAACGCAATCCTGCCATCTGATGACCTTCATGTAGATGCACTCTATGATGGCAATCAGCACCATACCGCCGCCGAGACCAATCCAGGCACCGTCGAGCTCCATCGCAGGGGATCCCAGCTCGAGCCATACCGCCAGGGGCACAGCCCCGATGTAGTTGACAGCGAAGACAACGCAGGCCGCAACAGACTGTCGGCCAAGACCGCGTAGGACACCGTTGCATCCGCAGATGATTGAGTCGATGAGTTGGAAGGCGCCGACGGCGAGCATGGACTTTGTGGCCAGCTCCTGGACGGCGGCGTCTTCGGAAAAGACGAGTCCGAGTTGGTTTCGGAAGAGGAAGAGGATGACGCCATCAACCATGCCGACGATGGTGAAGACGGCGGCGTAGAGGCTGCTGGCCCGGCGGGCGATGGAAACGTGACCGGCGCCGATGAGGTGGCCTATCCTAGTCGAGATGGCGACGGAGATGGAGAAGGGGATGTGCCACATGACGACCGAGATCGTGGTCAAGATCGTTTGAGCGGCGAGATGTTCGGTGCTAAGGTATGAAGTGCTGAGGGTCAAGATCTCAAAAGCAGCCCATTCGCCAACGTTGACGAGCGAGCCTGCGATTGACAGCTTGACGGGCGTGCCCCATTCCTGGAAAGCTTTTCGAGAGAAGCCGCCCCAACATTGGTGAGACCATTGGCCGAAGAAGACGATGTACATGAGCAGGAGGATAGGTCGGAGGTCGTTGGCAAGCGCCTGGCCGAGAGCGGCACCTTCGAGGCCCATATCCAACTTGAAGGCGAAGAGCCAGCTGAGTAGGGCGTTGACCGGGGCGCAGATGATGAGAACGATCATAGCACTCTTGAAGTCGCCCTGGGCCTGTAGAAAGCGCTTCAGAGCCTCGAACGCGGCGTATCCGGGAATTCCGATCAAGCTGACTCGCAGGAATGAACCGGCCTTGATAGCCAAATGATGCTGCTTGACGAATGCCGAGAGGATGCTTGGAGAAAATATCCAAAAAGCGCCAATGGGAATGGTGGCGATGGCCATCAGGATGAGCATGCGCTGGACATGAAGTCCGACAGCAGTGAGGCGCCCGGAACCATGGGCTTGGGCGCAGAGAGTGTCGAGAGCGGTGGCCATACCCTCATAGATGGCCAATCCGATGATGTTCATGGTCGTCAGACCAATACTCGCGGCGGCGAGGTCATCGGCGCTAAGATGACCTGCCACGAAGGTGGTGATGACCGTGAAGGAGTACTGAAGCAGATACGTGGCGATGAGCGGCAGCGAGTACTGACACAGCAGCCGTGACTCGGTCAACCAGCTGCTGGTGACGGGCTCCGACTTGGGAATCGGCTGGTCCGCCAGCAGCGGCGTTGTCTCGCCGGTCCGGTACTCGTCCTCATCGCGGTCGCGGTCGCGATCGCGGTGGTCCATGACGGGCGACCCGATTAGCAGCACCGTAATAGGGCGGCAGACGGGCGTGGGGTAACGGAGCGGATCGGAGGTAAGAAGATTGGTGGAAAAGAAAAGGGACGTGGCTGGCTTGACTGGGATTGAAGAGCAAAGGGGGACAGACGAGCAACGCAGCTGAAATTAGGTTGATGGACGGCTAAACCGCTACGCGCATGTGCTTAATTCTAGGAGAGGGTGTGCTAGTACATGTGGTCGACGTCGCCGGGAGGGTAAATCCGTGCGAATTGAAGGGAGAGAAGATGTGTTTGATGGGGACAAATTGAGAAACAGAGTTCCGGTCACAGCGGCTGATGAAGCCGGACGAGAAAAAGTTTTGCTCACAGCTGTGAACGGACCGGGTCTGTGGGGTCTCCCATCTCCACTAAAAACGCCTCAGATGCTGTGTGCCACAACGCCATGCATTCCGAGATCCGAACCCGACTGGTGGACGCATGATGGTCGCTGCGTCAGAGATGGAATGTGAGGGGGCCATGTTATGTAAGATATTGTGAGGAATACATCGAATAGTGTAGCAAAAATTGCGACGAAGACTCGTTGAAAGCGATTCCGAGTGAGTAGAGAGACTCACTCCAAGACGGGTATTGAAGCTCCCATGCTTATTGACATGGTGCTGTATCAACGTCACAACATCATGAATCTGAGAACCACTGTCCGCCGCTCAGCGCAGGCAACACCTCATTACTCTTTACTGATAATTATGTGATTGATGACTCGCCTTATACTCCATTTACAAGATATCTACTTAGTAATTCAAGGCCTTTGCAACTTCTCGGTGTTCGGTGATTGGTCTCATTGCGGTTTACTTAGTAAAGCTGAGCTCCAACCCCTGGAACCTCTTACCTCATCCTCATGGAAAATCGGGTGTCAATTACTCACTGCGCCTAGATAACAGCAAAACACAGCCAAATACTGGGCTTACAACGCTAAAGGCATTTCACATTGGAAGTGACATACAAAGAACCCCCTCCATTACACTAAAAGCTGTTCACCCGACGGCCGATAACTGCCATGGCTGGGAAAAGTGGCCTGCCTGTGCCAAAGCTGCGACCCGCTATCGATCCACCAACATTGCACCACTTAATGAGGGTCACCAAATGCGCCGCGCATCTCATTTGCTCTCAGCCCTGTCGAACGGAGATGGTTGATAAATGAGAGAAAATAAGGATGGTCACCACTTTTATCCGCCGGGGAGCTATCTGGATGTGCTAAGGCTATTTCAATAAAATCTTCGGGGTCTTTCAGGCGTGAGTTCTCACTGAAGGTCTGCCTCGAACGACTGTTACATAACCCCGGGGTTTGTATTAAATCTTATTAAATGAACGACGATCTTTCTCCACTGTCTCATTGCGGTAATAGCTGCGAATGATGTTGGTTCCAACAGGACTCTTGGATCTGGGGTTTCCTTTGAAATATCACGCCAGTTTCCACACCTGTGTGGCTTCGTTTCCGCTCCCTGAACATGGTGGAACTATCAGCGTCGATTGAAGGAAAACCTAAGCAATCTGCTTTTTTCAGTTGGAACAGCAGAAATTTTACAACCGATAGCCAGCCTCTGAGGACTTGTATGATCCCTCATGAGAACTTGATCGGCTCTCATGCCGCTGTGGTACCAGATCCTCATTACTCTCGGTTCTGTAAGCCCCCTCCTCCTTGTCTTTCCGACTGTCGTGGACATGTCCCTGTACCCCAACTGGCCAATCGGATGGGCGTAAGGATTTGCTTCGTGTAGCTCTCGATTTCGCAGCTCCACTCGTCAGATGTGATCCATATCGCGAGTTGGTTCCTCCGACGATCGCTGTGGCGTGGAGCCTGCCGCTCTCATCCCCGCCTGACGCGGTCAGTTGGTAAGGCGCCTGAATCGTGGCCACAGACGTCGAGCCCATGAGACTGTCGATGACTCCTTTCAGGCTCGGGATGCAGGCTGTCATCACAGAAAGGCCCAGTGTGCACTGCAGCCAGATGACGTGTGGTACAGCGTGCCAAGTGCTGTCCTTGTAGTCCGTGACGAGGGTGTGCGTGCTGATGAGTCCCGGGATTGATAGAATAGGAACACTGAAGATGACATAGTTAGCAAATGTGGCAGGTAAGAACTGGGTGATGAACATACATGATCCGAGTTCCAAATAAAGCGATGACCAGCAGCTTTCTCTTCACGGTGGTCTGGACCTTCCACATCATTGCGACTGGAAGGAAGCAGAGCACGACGTCGGTGGATATGTCCATTATTCCATTGTAGAGGTAGACAACCTCTCGTCTAGGACAGTTTTCCAGGCTGATGGCAAGCCATGGTCTAGGAAGTGAGCACTGAAGAGCTTCGGCTGTAATACCAGACACCATCCATGCGATAACTACACCGAAGAGTAGGTGATTGGCGATATTGAATTTACCGTGGTTATTGATTGACTGTATGAGCAGACACAAAGACAATTTGGTTGTGGCTGCTGTGGCAGTCGCGAAGATGGACGATGCGTAGAATAGCTAGATCAGATGACTGTTAGACTAGATGTTTTATACCCTTAAGGGAGTACTAACCTTGTAAAAAGCTTCGAGTTCCGTAGGGCGAAGAGCATTCTGGTGACGACCCAGTCCGTGGTTACAGGCCGTGATGACGAATGTGGTCTGCACGAATAGCAGAGCTACAGACATCAATAAGAGCACATCGTGAGCTTTGAGAGATGTGATGTTGAGACGGATGATGAGCTTGAGTGTGATGCCGATGATGGCGTAGATGAGGAATACCAAGGCAGAGACGACTGCAAGTGCAGCTTTGTCGTCTTCCTTCAACGCGTAGAAGGGCGGAGCTGGTGGGTGATCGAACGGCATGATGTTGCACGCTGCTACGACGTGACATTGGCACGGGGAGAACGCGAGTACTTCAGAAGATGACGAACTCCCTTTCAGCTTCCACCACCCCACCGGAAATCTTTGTCATAAAGTTCATGGCGGTTGATGTAGACATTGGGACGAAATTTCTGCCCAGTAAACTTTGAACAGTGGATGGTATACTCCGGGAGATGTGCTGGCTACACGGTGTCCCCAGCTTGTGATTATTGGGCAGATCATAGCTGCCAGCATAGGATCAGAGTAGCTGCAAGGCCGGCTACTGATGGTGCCTTGAGTCGTTCCTACCGAGCTATCGGAGAGAGTTCTCGACATGAATCGAGGCAAGTGTGCCCCATGGATCGCAAGGCATCTCCATCCTGGTACCATACAAACTCTGTTCGCCGTTCCGAGGGGATGGATGAGTCGTTTAGTGGAAAGTTCCACAACAGGGGAAGAGACCACGTCAGGGTCGCTTCATGTCCTGACAAGGGCGCATTGTCTGGTCAGGCCTCGCCCTGATTTTCTTCGATCCGATCTGCTTGTTTGGACGACTTATTTTGCTTTTCCTTGCAAGCAGGTTGCCCATGATCTTGGGAGCGGAAATTCAAGTGTTGGACACGTAAACCATGCCATCTGAAATTTCGGTTCTGCACCATTTGCATTCGACAAGGATGAAGAAGAAGTTTCCCGAGTGGGTCGAAGAATCATGAAGATATGTACGCAGGTGGAGTTGGAGAAACAAACAAGAGCTGTTGGAACAGGGCTTCTTCATTTCGGTCATAGTCTTGGCCCGGCACCATCGGCAGACAACTTTCATGGTCTACAGCACGACATAGGTGACTGCCTTCGTACAAGACAATGTTGTGCCTTTGCGATCCCATGCGTTGAATAAATGAGAGCGGCTGATGTGCTTTCGAGGGTCGGCCCGTGCCAATTCTTACTTGGATGAGGCCTGTTCCAAAAGCGCCATGTTTCTAGTGAGGAACGAATCGTGGTATTCCCTCGGCTATCCAAAAGAAAACATGCATCGGCAGGATGCTAGCTCATGCTGCCTCAGCGGCTGCAAAAATCTTTCATACCAGCTGGTGAATCGTGTCAGAAAGATAGTCTGAAATGAGAATCTCGCTCGCGGGAGCAAAATCCTTGCACCCGGCGATCAAGGGCCCTTAGAACCAAAGACTCAAGGCGATGATCAGGATGGGTCCCGGCAAGCCGGCGTGGCCCGTGAAGAGATGAAAAGGTTGCCCCCGCATGTAACCCCCCGGCCCGAAGCCCACAACTAAGGCTACAGTTGGCGGGGATGACTCCCCGTCGGGAGATGAATCTGCTGAGAGGCTTCAGAAGGACCGATGCCGGCAGACTGAGAAAAAGCGCATGATTGGAGACAAGTCAGAGATAAACTACTGTCATTGGTCTTTGCCAGCTGCAGTACTACTGTTGTGCGATTAATGGCTTCGCCTTCGGGCCACCTCCGCCGGTTCGACAAACCCCTCTGCAATGCTGCACGTAGCTGGGTCTTAGACTTGCAGCCCCCCTTGCATTCAATCATCAGCGATATTTATCTGCGAACGGCGCAGCAATTGGTTTGAGTTTTCTTGTCCGCCCATGCTATCCCGGCCCGATCCTGTCATCCCAGAAAAGGGTTCGCAACTCCAGACCATCGAGGTTGACCGACCCTTTGTCTGACACACTCTTTCTTCCAGCCGAACAATCGGCTTTGGTTTGCTGAACCTCATTCACTCAAAATGTCTTCAGCGGAAGGCATCGAAATGCAGCCGACCGGCAAGGACGCAACCAAGATCAATACGGCCGAGTCGAAGCATGGATCCGATGTGTACAATCAGACGAGAACGCGAAGAGTGTTCTCATTCTCGCAACTGTTCGCCTTCTCCCTGACATACATGGCCTTATGGGAGGGCATGTGCACGTAGGTCATATCCACTCAACAAGTTTTGGACGTCGCTGAACAGTTCAGAAACATGTACTTCGCCCTGTATAACGGAGGCCCACAGACATTCATCTTCAGCTTCATCATTGTTTTCTTCGGCGCCATTTCCCAAGCGGCCTCACTCGGTGAAATGGCCTCTATCCAGCCGGTTGCTGGGGCTCAGTACCACTGGACATATCATCTGGCGCCAGCCAGGGTGAAGAGGTTTGCAACTTGGGTCCAGGGATGGTCGACATGGTTTGGCTACGTCTCCCTCCTCGCCGGGATCGCGAACGTCACTATCATTCTGCTGGAATCTATGATTCAACTCAATCACGAGAACTACGTTCCCGGCGGCTGGCACACATCAGTGCTCGTCATTGCCATGTGCGTGATGCAGGGGCTGATGAACACGTACTGCTTCAAGGTCATCCCCTGGGTCGAGCTTGTCGCTGGTGTTCTCCACGTCTGTCTCTTTGTTGTTTTCGTCGTTGTCTTATCGGTCATGGGCACCCGACATGACAGCAGCTTTTTCCTCGAAGCCAATTTCGCGTCGGGTTGGACGGACAATTACGTTGCATGGAACCTGGGAATGTTAACCTGCGTTTGGAGTTTCACTGGTAAGGCTTCCTGTGCGCCGTCTTAATGACTTTGAACTAACAGGTGCTTCAGGTTTTGACAGTGCAATTCACATGAGTGAAGAGACCCGCAAGGCCAAGTCGGCTGTTCCTCGCGCCATGTTCTGGTCCATTTTCATGAATGGTTGCTTGGGCTTCATCATGGTCTGTGTCATCTTGGTCTCCATGGGTTCTGTGGGTGATGCCCTCAACGCCTCCTCCCCTATCCTTGCCATTCTCCTGGCTATCACTGGATCAAAAGGTGCGACGACGGCAATGATAACAGGTCTTTTCGTCGTATCCTTCAGCGTCAACCTCGCCAACATTGCCTCGGTCTCTCGCCTTACATGGGCTTGGTCAAGAGACGGCGGAATGCCGGCATACCTCGCGTATGTCAACCCGAGGCACCGCGTCCCTATTCGAGCCATCATCGTCACCGTTTTCATTGTCTGCGCTCTATGTCTGCTTAATATTGGCAGCTCAAGCTATGTCGCGTTTGGAGCAATCACCTCGTTGTCATCCATGGCTCTCTACATTAGTTATGCGATCGCAATCAGCAGCATGCTCTACGCTCGCATGTCTAAGGCTGGAGGCGTGGAACTTGGAGAATGGAACCTTGGCCCATTCGGTTTGTACATCAATGTTTTCGCATTGATTTATACCCTTTATGTGATAGTGTTCCTGCCCTTCCCGTCAACCATCCCGGTCACCGTTGAAAACATGAACTACTGTGGCCCAGTCATGGTATTTGTGTTACTGCTAGCAGTTGCTCTTTGGTTTTTCCGTGGTAGGAAGGCATGGACTGGCCCGAACCTCACGATTCTGGACTTGGTCATAGGAAACTCATAAAGAAGTGAGATTAGATGTTGCTGTCTGGTTACAGAGGAATATTATGGTTTGGGAACATTCCTGATTATGAATTCAACCGGGAAGTGAACTGGCCTTTGCGTTGCAAATAGCCGTAACAACATGTCTGAAAGTGACTGGATTGGTAGTCCTGCATGCCATTATGCCTGCCTCAGCTCTGACAAGATGGCCATCTCTGTAGCGGTTCTTCTTATACCAAATGCTGGCAAACGACTTTCTTTGGGTTGCTTCCTGTTGTGTTCCCACAAGAACCAACCTAGTAGAACCAGTACTGTCAACGGAATGGTGAGAGCAAAGTAGATCCATATTTTTGGTGATAGCGAAGATCCTGTAACTTTGACATCAATATTGAATATCATTTGTACAAGTTGAAACCAGCCATGGTTTCTCTTACCTTCTTGAAAGTCAAAGAAGGTCATGCTAAAAATCGATGCCAGGAAGGTGCCTGGCAGGAATGTGGCTCCCAGCAGTGACAATGCTTTCATAGCCTTGCTGTCGCTCTTACTGTCATTTGACAACTGTCGCTGATCGCCGGCAATCTGAAGGTTAAGCTTTGAGTCATTCTGGGCGATTTCAGCAGTTATGAACGATACCTGAGTATGTGATCATATCAGTCAGCAGCCCAGAAATCGTTTGGTATGAGGATTGCCTTACCATGCTCCTTTGGATGTCCAAGCGTTCAATGGAAACGGAAGTATAGCTGTCAAGGCCAACGAGGCGAGCTCTTTGCAGGCTCAATCGATCTTGAAGACTGGAGTGAAGCCTTCTCATGTCTTCCGTCTTCTCATTGGAGGGGATGTTCGTCCAAAACGATTGCATGGCGTCTTCCGTCGCACCAAGTATCTTGAACCACAGGGCCGGGCGTTTATGCAAGACCAGCCTGTGGCACTCCGTTAGATCCCTCGCCACGGCTCTGAAATCAATCATGCCATCTTCGTAATAACTAGGTTCTCTTGCAGTAGCTTCAACTACACTGATGGCGTGTTCCAGTCGTGTGATCAAGCTGCGGGACTCTCGTTGATCAAGTTCAGTCTTCATCGAGATGAGATGGGAAAGAATGATGACTGGGAACAAAAGTGGATGCGAGGCCTCGCTGGCACAGTTCTCGAGGTCATCAATGCTGTCTGAAATGATAGATGTCGGGGTTCCTTTGACAAATGCCGTGACTTGTCGGCGTTCGAAGGAGTAGGAGAGGACCAATTGCCAACCTCTTGTCTTGTTTTTCTTGCGCATATCGTGCTTGCCGCAAATTATCTCTATGAATATGACTTCGTTAAATCATCGAAATTGTAAGACTGCACCGAACATGGGAGATGCATCTAAAACGCTTACGGAGATGGGGATCATTCCCATTGAGCATGGTATAGCGGTGCCAAAAAAGAGGTCCAACAATGCTCGTGAGCTCCACAGCCTGGAGAGGGAGCCTCATATCTCTGAGCATCGACTCGAAGAGGCTGGGATGTAATGAAAGCGTCGATGGGGTGAATGTGTGCGGATGCTCTGCGCCGATTTGCAGCCTAAATAGCGAGAGTATCCCGCGAACCAGCTTTAATGATTGATGGCCAGGCTTGAGACCACTTACAAAAAGCGAAGACTACTTGATGGTAGGGCTTGGCTAAAGCGAGAGCTTGGGTTGAATTCGCCCTGGACATATCTCAAACGTAAGCAGGTGTATCTTCCTAACTTCAAGTGGTAGAAATCGGAATGATTGCAGCCTAGTTGCTATCAACGGCGGCTACACAAGCACCTACCTCTGCGCGAAAGAATCTTGTCAATTGGGCATCAGAAAGAGGACCTTTGAACGTTTTGCCGTGGCCACCCTATTTCAAGAAGAACGTCAGTCTTGCAACAGGGAAGTATGTGATAGGTTGCGTCCAGCTCACATCATAGCTAAGGATTTCGAGGTAAGTTGTGGCTTCGCACACGTGAGTGCACTTGCGCAAATGCTTTTCAAACACTCTCTGTTCCATAGTTCAAAGCGGACCGCACAAGATCATGAACCAATATCTTCAGCCGAACTAGCTAGCTTCAAGCTCCAAAGCTAGCGTCCAACAGAGAGGCTCCAGGCTGCGACATTTTGCGAGCGGTGAGACATGTGCTCTGTTGATAGAGGCGGGGGTATCACACGTGATGTCAGCAGCGGCCTATCACGGCGCATATCAAATCCCTTGCACCTGTCGAGGTGCATATCTTGATGACAAGGGGCCGATCCCATTTAATAGGTGCCCTGAGGCGAGTAAAGATGGACTCAAAAGTTCCCCCGGAGGACTGAAACGAAACAATGCAGACGCCCGACGACTGAGCATTTCGATTCCAGAGCGAAGGCAACCAGGGCGCAATGTCAGGCCATCGGGCCACGAGTCGATCGGGGTTGTCTGTATTGGGCGCTTGGGGCTAATATCGAATGAGACCATGACGACTTCGTGCTGACCTTTTAGAACGTTGACCAATACACTCCGTTGCGTTGACAGCGTCCGCCCCCCCTTTTTGCCGAAATTACGCACGCATAATCCCTGTATATACATGAAAATTTGCCCAACGCCACGTAGATATTCGTAGTACGGCAATTGACCTATTCTGATGGCTTCAATTGATCTATTTCTATTGAATCTCATTATCTGAGGGCATCGTGATGCCTCCTAAACGCCGCCGCGCGGCTCGGCAGGCGGATGATGACCCTTCTGGGCATCGTCCGTCACCCATCGCCAACGGTACGCGGAAACAACGACGTATACAACAACTGGCACAGGACGCCGCCAGAGATCCTCCTCAACGCTCTGCCTCGCCGTCGATCAGGATCGTTACGCCCGCCGAGAGGGCTCGCCGGGCTGCCGCCGCCGAAGAGGCCGCCGAGGAGGCCGCCGAGGAGGTTATCGTCGCCGAGGCTGGACCCGAGACTAATGATTTGGTGGCGGCTGAGTCTACATCGCGAAGAAAGCGTGTACTTATAGCCCCTCCGTCATCACGAAGAGCTCCAAAAGCGTCCTCTCGCCAAAAAGCAACGACAACGCAGAGGAAGCGAAAGAAGGATCCGCCGCATACGATCCGGCTCCGAAGTACTCTGCCTTCGTCGATGCCACCGTTTCGACCAGACTCGACCCCAGTTAACCCAACCCCTCGTCAAACCACTCGATTTGCGGACGATACGCCTACGGCCCCTCGCCATAGCGCTGATGATACGTTTATGTCGTTCCACGATGTATTTGAAGAGGAGGACGATATGGGTAACGAGGAACCAACTCTGCTACAAATCCAGGTTACCCGTGGCCCAGCGCTCAAGGGTAACGGTTTACCTGTTCTCGATCTAACCATCGAGAGCATCGCGTATAACAGATTCAGTATTGCTCCTGTATTAGATGCGAATAGTAGAGACTGGGAGGCAGACAGCGGCGCCCAACTTGAGGCAGAAGTGGCTCACTCGTATATTGTGAAGAAGGCCAATATCGCTGTTGTCGTTGCTTGGAGGAAGCCCACCAACGCATCTAAACCAACACCAATCTTCACTCGGGTCTATCCGTCTACTGGAGGGGTCACTTGGCCAAGTATTCCATGGGTTGATATTGTCCCCTCTCTTGAACAAGCTGAAGAGAGGGGTGAAGTCCACCTCACCGTCAAGTGGCAATACAGCGCCGTACCAATCTCTGGTGGTATAGTGACTGGCGTACGAACGCCTCGAAAAGGTGGCCGAGCAGGCGTTTCAGCCGGCATGCAAGAGGCGATCGATCGTGAGGCTAACGATCCTGCAAACGTCGAGCGTCGGAAGGAGGGTATGCACAGACAACTTCTCCGTACGCACATCTGCCCAGAGTACCAGAGATGTAAGAATAGTTCGGGCGACGAGAAGTTCAACTGGTGCTATATACTAGGCCAGAAGCACTACAAGATCAAATCTCACCATATAGAGAAGTGGGCGAAGGCTATTATGACTGGACAGGCTGGCGTTGACAATATGGAACCACCTAAAGAACTGCTTGGTGAGATTCTTCACGACCAGTTTATAGAGGATCAGAAACGCCAGGGCAAGAGAAGTAAGAATATCGTGGAGGTTGATGATAACCAGGAGACGACAGTGATGACGGAAGAGAAGGCTGAAAATGCCGCACTTCCATCATCAGGGTCAAGATCTGGCCTAACCAACGCCAACAGCAACGCCATCGTCAATATATACGGCAACGCGGGGGCGCCAGATCGTCATCTTCAATATCCTAACCCATACGTACAGCTGCCGCCGCCGGCGCCGCCGCCGCCGGCATATTGGCCATATGCGAACATCTCACAGTATTCGTTGCCAACTCTTCCGCCATTGAACCTTCCAAGCACTCGTCAACCAAGTATCGCACTCCCGATTCGTTCGTCCTCGCCAGTGGTACCGGATTCGCCTCGAAAAGCTCTAGATCAAGTGGCCAGCTTCATCAAGTGGTTTATATCCGTCCGCGGCAAGCGATATAACGTCGACGAAGGGTTCAGAAAGAAGCTACAGAAACTGCGATCAGTAGACAGTAGCTTGCGGGCAATTCGCAAGTTACCAGATATTTGGTTTACTGAACAGGGTTTTACTCAAGATCTTACCGAAGATGTCAGGAACTCGATCAAATCCTTCATAGACAACAGCGCCTACTACGGAGGGCAGTCTGACGCCCTCTCCGACGTGGTATCTCACTCTGAACTTCATTCAAACCATCGAGAGTCAGAAGGAGATGTTTATACAAGAATATACGCTGGATTGCCAGGAGGGACGGCGGCGGCGCCAGTTGAAAACTCTGCGGCGCTAGTTTCAGGCGAGTTGGGGTCATCCCGACATATCGACGCCCTAGTGCCACGTCAATCCATCGAGCAAGAGATCCGTGGTACGCCAGTTGAAGTTGGTCGACGTGGTGAGTGTATATAGAGCTGTTTACTGTCGAATATGGCTAACTTTGTAGGCGTTTCGGAACTCTTTGGTTTCGTTTCGTCACCACTGCTGTCAGCGTCGCAGATGCTGCCCACGCAGTTACAGATCGAACAAGACGAAATCGAGCAAGGCGATGAGGACAATCAGATTGAAATCTCGAGTGATACGTCGTCAACAGAGACGTATTACTCGGAGGAGGATAACGAAGAAGAGTGATACAGCAAGAGTGGTGTGAAGTTTGACTGTATGCGCGATTTTTTTGCATGACGTGTTCAACCACGGAAAAGTCTACCCATAGCCGTAGATTCAACACTGCCGCTCTATACGTATAAAAGCAATAGAATTACTGTTATTTTGGATCTGCAAACAATACACTTCGGTCCATCCCGATACTGGTTAGGGGCAGTTGAAGTCTCTGACTATGGTTGAAGTCTCTGATCGTGATGACGTGTCATCATCACAAATCATCGTCACAAGCATCAACAACGCGTTTCAGCCGTTATACAGGCAAAATTGATATGTATACGTAGCTACCGACGAAAACAATGGACGACGGTATATTTTTTGTGTTCTGGTGCGCTTGTGGCTAACCTTTTGGCAATCTTGTTGGCTACAATCATGGATTTGATGATTGACCATCATATGACGACACGATTAAGATCTATTGCGCGCGAACGCACGATGAAAATTTGGATTGCTTGCTGATGTTCAATATTGGCAGCAAATCCTCCCTTTTATAGTTCGATATCGTCAAATATATGCTCTGTCCCATCAAAGTTGACGAACGAATGGCGGAAATGGCCCTCGATCTGGGGTAGACGATACCCAATCTCCATAGCGCAGTCACGTAGATATTCCATGAAATCCCGAGTGTCATTCTCATCGTTGTTCCACTTCGAATACGTCTTCCTGATGTATCGCTTTAGATCGCCGAAGTACTCTTCGATGGGGTTGAAGTCTGGTGAATACGGAGGCAGAAACTCGAGATGGACACCTGATACCCGGCATAAACCCTCGATTTCAGGTATACGATGGCAGGAGAGGTTATCCATAACGATGACAGAGTTTGGCTCTGGAAAACGCCCACATTTCGGGATAAGGCACTCCTGTAGCCAACGAAAGAACCCATCGCCGTCAGTCGTACCATAATACGTAGTCAAGTGTAGGATACCGCTCAACGTGAGGGCTGGCAGGATCTGTACGCGAGAGTTCTGAAACCGATCAATCTCTGCAGTTCGAAACGCAGCAAGCCCTTTCGGCGCCCATCCAGTCCTCCGTATCCCAGTATCCTTATTGACGCCGGATTCGTCGACGAATACCAGCTGGTCGGGGCGATATCGTCGTATACGGTACAAGTACTCGTATCGTAGTTCGTCACTTCGCTGAGCAGCAATAATCTTGGACTTCTTGTTCGTCCAGCCAGCTGAGTTTAACTGTCGACTGATTGCAGAACGACTGATCTGGATCTCGAAGGCTTCAAATAGGAAATCTTGCATCTCTTCAAGAGATAGATCGCTGCGGTACTGCAGTAGTTCAAGAAGCTCTGTACGATGCCATATTTCCATCTTTTGTCGACTCTGGCGGCACCTCTTATATCTCTGCACTTCGCCAGTGATATTACGTCGTGATCTATGTCGTCGAATCGTTCGTTCGGTACAGCCAACGATACTTGCCAGCTCGTGGGTCTTTTGGTCTTCGAATGGCAGTATCATCGCGATCGTCGATAGCTGTAGATTCGATATTCTGGGCGCCATTGTATCGTCGTCGTCGCCCGGCGTCTTTCTCGATGTATCTGATATAATAAACCACGGACATGTACTGACCAGCGGCAAACTGTAAGTAACAGGGCACAATCTATACAGCAGTAGACTCTTGCTCAATATCGTGAACAAGCTGAGCTATCAGGAGAGTCATTAATCCTGTTGACTGCCAAAGCATTTGCTCTGAAGAACCGTATCAAGCCCCTTGGTATGCTTATATATTACTCAGAGCCATACAAACCGTATGCTGAGTAGATATATAAAGTCATACAGCAGGTCTCTTCTTCTGTTCCTCAGCAAATGTCATCTTGATCTCTCATGACGAAAATAGACCTTTTGTTGGTCGAATGGTATGGGGATGAGGTGACTAGCTGGGTTGGCAATGCCTCGATGGGTAGATTGACTGCTACGGAAGCATGAAATACACACCTTATGTCTCTATCGTGTAGTTATACGTTTGAATACTACTGGGACTATAGTGATTGACGGCAATTGAGGTGTTGGTGATGACTTTGACGCGTTTTGCGTGCGATGCAGAGAAATGCGCGTCACAGCGTAAAATTGGCTTTTTTTCATGTTTTTGCATAAGCGGGGAAAAAAAAGGGGGGCGGACGCTGTCAACGCAACGGAGTGTACGAAGTGCACAGTGTTTTTTACCTTGTCTAGTGCAAAGACACAGTAGGAATCAACTGGTGTGAGGTTGATGGGCAATTTCCTTGGTATTCAAGTGACGCAGAGCCAGTGACGTCTGAATAACCAACTTAAGCATAGCGTGCAGCACTCGCTTAGCATGTTCAAGCAATGGAGGCCCTCCCTGATATTCAGGCCAAGCCCTAGAGGTCGAACATGAGTGGACTGTGCCGCATCTCAGCATTTCAGCACCGGCCAGTCCCTTCAGCCAGCAAAGTCAACAACCTCACTCATGGCCTTTAAGTAGGGGTGCTCTGTCGAAGCAGAAAATCATGACCGCGTCTGTTTGAACCACAGATGTTTCCAGCCTCGAACCTTCGCTCAACAGGTCACCCAACTCTACCGCGGCAATGCCTTCGTCAACCGTTCAAGGTGCTATTCTTGTGAATGCCGGCGATGTAACAACAACTTGGACCGCTCCACCATCATGCGCCACCAAACCAGTCACTGTCCAGCTTGGCAATGGCGTTGATGTTGGTCGGGGGGGTTGGCAAGAAAACTGCACTCTGGAAGACCCAGGCCCCTACGATGAATGTGTACCCGACGTCGGAATTGCGCTTCTTAATCTACTCCTCAACGCCACGAACATATCTACAAGGAGTCTTGTTTTTTACCATTCACCAGGACTTGTTTGCCCATCCGCATGGACTCCTGCCGGAACGGCCATCAGATACGATGCCACCTCGTACGACCTGAGCGGCGTCTTTGCCGACCCGACCCTGACGATCACCAAGACTGCAAGCTCTACCGAGACCCAAACTTTGTCTCAGATAACCCCCTACATGAATCCCGTCCCCAACATGGTCATGTCTGCTCTCGAGCCCGGAGAAACCGGAATTTGGTGCTGTCCTTGGTGAGTGAACTGCGCTTTCCCACAACTTGTCTCTTTTGCAGTGCCCCAGCTCGTTCTGGCTTTCATCGTCTAGACAGTCTGACTGATTGATGTACGTCACCCAGCGGCTACACAGCACAGCCGTTCGGCCCTGGCTGCTATTCCGAAGTACCCAGGAGCCTGTACACCGCAAATACTGCCTGTTCTGTCATCTTTCACCCCGCCGCTGCTACAAAGGTCAACGTTACATACACCTACCATGGTCGGACGATAACAACCGAGGATTTTTCATGGACCACGTGGACTGAGACTACGTATCCGACCACAGTAAGAGATGTTGCTGGGACTGGCTACCCAGATGCCTTGATCACCACTCAACCAGTCATACTGGTACACAAAGCGCAGGATGCAGTGGAGACAGGATCTCCACAATGCCCTGTTGTGACAAATTCGACATTGATTCTCGCGCGGCCAACATCCTCCGCAGAAAGCAGCTCAACATCCTCCGTAAAAGGCACCTCAACACCCACTACAAGCTCGCCCTCTCCAACAGACGCCACAGCGACAGGAACTTCGAAGGCGAAGGGGATTCCAAGGCTAGCATGTGGTGCCATGGTCGCATGGTGGATAGCTGTTTGTGTGATCAATACTTTGTAATGAATTAGGGACGTTTTAGAGGTTGGGCCAGTGCGGTTCGGTGCAAGTTTTACCTGTCCAATACCAAGTATCCTCTATCTACTTCACATCCAGTGTCGTATCAAACTTCTTCAATGGTGCCTGTTGCCAAGAAGATGTTCTTTGGGCACAGTTGGCTTAAGCTTTCCAACTTCATGTCGAACAAGGAGCCGATCTAGAGGGCCACGCACCCTGGGTAACATACATGGTGGCTAGGTATGTGTGGCACAGGAGGCAGATGTTTTCGGGAAGATCTTTCGTCTTCAAGTAGATTTTGTTCGCCATCCTCCTTTTTTTCCGCTGTCTTTTGTCTCCGTCAGGCGCAGCTGACGGGAGTCGGCATTACCGTGACGAATAGCCCGAAGGGATAGCTCCGTACCATCCGCCCCGGCCGACCGCTGCGGAATGTGGGCGGCACCCCGGAACAAAAACTCTAAGAAATTGACGAATTGCCCACCGCGGGCGACGCCGTGCAGTGCCACTTAGATTGAAACAAGCATTTCCTAGCGGCGGGACGACCTGTTTACCCTGCCCGAATTGTGGGATGCCTACCGGCTCCTTACTGCAATCAGATTGGGCGAAGATCCTGATTACGCGTGCGCCTGTCAGTAGGCAGCGTAATCCCCCTCATAGGCCAATCCCCTTGAATTTCGTCACCACGGGAGAAGCCACACCTTGGTCTATTCTTGGCGCTCTAGTTGGCTGGACGCGACTCCTTTACGGCTGTACGCGGAGGCGGATGTTTCCTGTTGCTATGTTTTTCATCTAGTTTCTGTTTCTTTACAGCAAAGGGGCGTTCTCCACAGCGATCTTCGGGCTGGTAGACTGGTATCCCCCAAGTAGGAAAGCTTGGTATACCTTATTGAGCCGCGCAACATCTCTTAATTCTATGGGGCTGAGTTACCTCGTGATGTGGGATAGTGATTGTCCCGGTGCGAAGCCCTCGGCAATCATCATTTCGACGGTAGAAACATCTTTACAGATTCTGTATATATCTTCCTTGTTGCCAAGATGCCCAGATGATCATGGCCTACCTGTTCATCCCAACTCTCCAGACACATCAACATGCGCTCGTTTACGTTACTGACTCTGGCCGCGGCTGCCGTCCCGACTCTGGCTGACACTCACTACTTCTACTCTGGTTTCTTCTCCGGCAGCACCATCGTCGGCGTCGAGTTCGACGATGAGACCTCCTCTCTCACCCTCGTTAACAACATCACCACCGATGCGTCGTCGGGATCAAAGTGGATCCATCTTGATGTAAGCTGGTGCTCCATATGTTGGTGTAGCGGCACGGCTAACAACTTGTCTAGTCCCGCCTGAAGAACCTCTACGTCGGTACTACAGGTTACTTCCAGAGCTACACTATCACCGACGACCTCAGCTTGGAGTACGCTAGCAACGTTAGCTTGTCGTCAAACTGTGAGTCCAGTCGTGAACTTGATGCCAGAACCTGAGTTGACTCCCAACAGGCTCCAACGCCAACTTTATCACCTCGTCCACGGACTCCCCCTACACCGTCTTCGGTACCCCCTACGGAGGTGGATGCTCTTCCTTGGCCATCACCGTCGACGACAATGGCGTCCTCCAGGAGGCTACTGCGAACGTTACCTACGACAGCGCCGCTGGCGTTCACGGAACCGACATGAGCCCTAACAACGACTTCATCTACTCTGCCGACGACATGGGCAACGCTGTCTGGGTGCACTCCTATGACAACACCACCGGTGAAGTCACCGAGGTTCAGTACCTTGCTGCTGCCGAGGGCTCTGATCCCCGCCACCTCGCCGTTCACCCCAACGGAGGCTGGGTCTACGTCGTCTACGAGGCAGCCAGCACGATCGCTTCCTACAAGCGTGATGCCACGACCGGCAAGCTGACCTTCACCAACACCACCTACCCTCTGCTGCCCGACGGTATGTTTCATCATGTTTGGGTTCGCCGAACACGCTTGCTAACTCCCACTCAGGATACACCAACTCTTCCTCCTACTGGGCCGACGAGGTCATGTTCTCCGTTCCCAGCAGCAACTCAAGCGCCACGGCGCCCAAGTACCTCATCGCTGCCACGCGATCCCGCACCGTTGGTATCCCAGGATACGTCTCGGCCTTTGCCCTCGACAGCTCCACCGGCGCTATCACCGAGCAGCTCTTCCTCCTCCCCACCACGAACAGCGGTGGTTCTGCGAACGCGGTCTCCCCTGCCAAGTTCAGCGAGGACTACTTTGGCATCACGGACAGCGGCTCGAACTTCCTGGAAGTATGGAAGATTGATGCTAGCGGCTCCTCTACGACTGCGGCAGCTGTTGCCCACCTCGGCCTGTCGTCTGGCCCGGCCAACATTGTTTGGTACAGCTAAATAGAGTCGTGGTCAGACATTAACTAGTGGAGGAAGTCATATATGAGGCATGTTCATAGCGTTTTGATCTTCATCAATACAAACAGTCTTGTATTCAACTATTGCTGTACCTTGCAATCTAACCTACTGAGCTGAGGCACCGAAAACAGCTGCTGGACGTGGCCTTGCAGTTGGTCTAGTGATCGGCGGAGAGCATCTTGATGACCACCAATCCCAGCCATTCTTTCTGTTCCACGTTGCTCTGATCAACGAGTCGAACGCTCGAAAATCATTTCTTGATAACTCCTTCTCAACGTTTAGCTCGCATGTCCCATTGTAGCGATTGTCCGGGCTGTTTGGCGCAACTGGGGTAGGGTCGTTATTCCCAAATTCCATCTTGCCGTCGCGTTCGGAAGACTCAATCCACGGGCTAGGGAGAAGGCCAGAGTCCAAGACAATGTAACGATCGGGGAACAGACGGTTTCTCATGTTTTCCAAACTTCTGAAAGGATGATTCAAGCATTGGACAGTATCGAAGTAGAAGTCGGTGAGATTCGTGAGCTTCGTGTGGATGCCGTTGAAAATGGTTTCCCACCTCCCTGAGAAAGTGTAAACACGGTCGTCGTTGAACGTGAAACCAAATGCGCCGTGCGGGCATCGTTCCCAATCATGGGTAGGCGTGCCCGACTTAGTCAGTAGTTCGCCATGGATACGCAGGTGAGAGACGATGCGGCAGTTGAGCAAGCGCAGAGTTGTCAAGGATGTCTGCGCCAAGACCCAGTTGAAGTGGTCATGGTGGGAAATGACGAAATTGATGAGGTTGAGCGTCTTGAGATGCGGGAATTCCAGTCCCTTTCCATCAAAGTAACCAGGAGCAGTTCCCCAGTACTCTTGAAAGCCAAGAGTCAATGTCGTCAGAGAGTCGGAGAATTTTGGCAAGATCTCCTTTTGTAGGTGAGGTTCGAATAGCCATCGCTCCTTGCAATAAAGGTCGTGGTCGGGACCGTGCTCGTTGCATTCTTCCAGAACCAGGAGATCCAGCCGAGTGATATGTTTGACTATGTCTGCCATCTCCGACGTAACCAGGCTTTCGAGGGAAGTATTTTGCACGTTCTCCAGTCTCAGCCATCGTATGTTGGTGGCATCTGAATCCTTAGCCCGGGTTGCCATCGCGTTGAAGACCGTCTTGAGAGTTGCGGATCGAGCACCAAGAGGCTCAACGCCGTCCTCCCACCCATCATCCCAAGCCGTAGACTCTACCCTTTCCCCTCGGCATTTGTCGCCGAAGTGCAGGTGCAACATTCTCAAGTTCTTCAATTCAGTGATACGGGCCACAGCATTAGTGAATCGTGGGAACTCGCCCTTGTTCTTCCAGTCCTCCCAGATCTCCCAGTCACCGTCATTTGCCAAATCTTCGGGGGTACTCCTGATCACCGCGCACTGAGCCACGTTGCGGATGATGTCGTTGTCGACCATCTTGTTCCAGATTCGGAATTCGCTGCTGTCTGCTTCTTCTACATCTTCATCCTCGTCAAAGTCGGCTTCCGGGGCATCATGGTGTACGAGCGTGATTGTCTCGAAGAGATGAGGTGTCGCAAGCGTGTTCCATTTCCGGCACACCAATCGGGCGTTGGCGATGTCATGGTCGCCGTGCGCAAATTCGCCGTACTCACCCTTCTCGTCGAAGAGCGATCGAAGGATAAGACCCAGCACCTCTGTCGGGAAATCGTTCAGTTCCATGGTGTGATTACTGTGATAAGTGTAAACAAGGAGAAAAAACTCGACCTCACTGTCATCCGCAGAAGTGCAGTTCAGCTGGCTTGATATATGAGAAGGCAGCCCCCACTTAGTCGCGAGCCTAGCTTCAGGGGTCTGCAGGCAGCACTGTGGCAGCCTAGAGCTGCCAAAGGATTGAGAGGCACAGAGCTTGGCTATGCTAAGTCTAATACAGCTTTCCGATTTTACCGCGCCTCAATGGCGTTCTAAAGCTATGACATTAAAGGCTGAAGGTTG